AAAACAAATATAAAACCACACAGTAAAAGTATACTAACTCTTGAAAAACAGGTAGAAGCTACATAGAGATAATTACATGGGATTAACTAAAATAATTTTACTTCCAATTTTAATTTCTGAACTAGGCTTTGAACTTTACAAAAAAAGGTTATTCTTCCCCATTTAACTAGTCCATAATAAAGCAAAGTTTCAACTGGGTCCCAGGCAGCTGATATGACACTTACCTATCTATGTATCTTAATACTTTTTTAATTACAATTTTTACACATTCAAAATACTGTCGAATCGAACCTGCCACCTCTGCCGTAGGTAGTATAGTAGCCGAAATCCCAACCAATGTGCGAAATGGGTCATTCAGTTTCTACGTTTCCAGTCCAAACAGTGTTTTAAGTTCGTATCGGAGTGTTCCTTTGATTTATTCATACACTGGCCGAATGAAATTCAATCTTCCGAGAGAAATATCCAGAGTGCCCTGTCACTGTCGTACTGCTTGATTTATTTAAAAGCTGACATGGTTCAGAGGATTTGCTTTACTGCAAGTTCTTTGAGTGCTCGCGAAAGGAATCTTAGTGATCTAAAAGTACAATAAGATGGCGCTACAAAATGCAGATTTCAATGTGACTATCTTATCCAATTTAGCGAGTAGAAATTCTTACATTTGATTTCTTTTGAAAGCTAGGCAAGACCTGTTATGAAGTGGCAAGGTGGATCGTTGTCAGGGACGTTATGTCTGGAAAGATAATTATATTTATCACTTTTTTGCATTAATATTCCACGTCAATATTTTTAGTTTGTTGTTTTAACTACAAACCGTTTCACTGCTTGCTCACTGCCCAGTTTCCCCCAGGCTGAGCCCCGGCAGAAAAACATTTTTCTCATTACCTATTTTAGCTCTACTTTTGGGGGAAGGTGGCCTTATCTAGTAACAAGATGACGTAAGAAACCGTATCGATCACTGCTTGGACTATTCATTATCCTGGACATACGAAATTTAAAATCAAAAAGCGAACTATCCAAATCCAAGATGTCACCAACAAATTCGCCGCCGAGCAAAACAACACCGAAAACCGCTAACGAATGACATGAAAAGAGAAAACGCATATCCGAGTGTCCGTCATTCATGCCGGGTTCGTTGACCTTAATTAAGCGGTGTAAGGGTACGGTAGGTACAAATTCATTGAAAAACAAGCACTTGGTAGTGACTCCACACGTTAGGCATCTCATCTAAGTACGTTTTATCTTAAAAAATTAATTAGGGCAGAAAACAATCGCATGGAATTAAAATATTATATCTCACTATTCAAAACATTATTTACATAGCAAAATATTAATTTCCTTTGCTACGCCACTCCGCCACCGCCCAAAGCGGTCAAAGAAGAATAAATAAACGTCAAACCATGCTCGATTCTTCAAACCAAGCCACAACCTTAAAAATTGAAAAAACTTATTTTTTCGTAAAACCTAGTCATTAAAAACAAGTTTATTGAATAGAAATCATAAATTCACCTGTAATTTTCCTACCAAAACTAAATACATGGTGTCATTAGTTGTAGCCACAGTGCTTACAATCTGTTTCTATGCGCGACTTAGTAAAAAGCCCACGAAGCAAGAACGCCGGACCTCTTCGCTCCAGCCCGGGGTTTTATAATGCATTCTTTCAGTTTTAATTAAACTTAGACTTCGGGGTTTTCAGCGAGTTTGTTTACTACAGTTAAAGCTGATTTTAAATCCATTTCAATTAAGTTAACTCTTATCGGTGGTTAAAGCGATCCATATTTGAGTAACTAACTAGACTAGATAGCATTAAAACTAAGGCTGGGTTGCACCATCTTATTTTAACTTTGACAAATGTCAAAAATCTGTCAAACTCCATACAAAAAGCACCGGTTATCGTAGAATTTACGGTCAAACGGTTAAAATGAATTGGTGCAACTCAGCCTCAGTCACTAGTAGCCCTTCAAGTAGGTACCAGAGAATCTAGACACAATAGAAATCAATTGTTACCGTGGTCTCATGCTACCATTTAGAGGTCCATGAGTTAATTAGGTTAATATACTGGTTTTGGTTAACATACGTTTTTACGTGTTCTGTACGAGTAAATAATGCATGAACCAGTTTCATAAACCAGTAATTAATTCGCGCCGTTGGATTAACATACGCCATTATTTCTACGTAGCCTGTGCAAAAATATCGCCGCCATATTGCATCGCTATAGGCTAAAATTACGTGTCCGTCGGTTCGCGCCAGGATAACCTGCTGTCAGTAAGCAGGAGTCATGCGCTTTTATTTCTGATAAAGCAAACTTACCCGTGCGTGAAATTCAGGTCCTATCACCGTTAAATAAAGTCCATTATCAGCTACCTGATTTCCAATAAACAGCCACGGCCCCACAGATTAAAGTTCAATCTATTTGATCCGTATTGAGGTGCATTAGGGTTGAAAGTTGGTTAGTCTCAATTAACTGGGCAGTTTCAGTGTGATCTGGGTAAGCTTGTTTAATCAACTGCTCAGTGCTACAAAACAATGGGTTTGCGCCGATGGTAGTTCGTAATTTGGAAAGAAAATAAACGAAAAATTTTGGTAAGTACTTCGTAAGTAGTGCATACTAACGAGCTCCGAGTAAAATTGTTTAGGGCGTATTGTATTTACCACACGTTTTTATTTACAATTCGTTACAGGGTTCAGTAAGAAACTACTAAAACTTAATGCCAAAGTAGTTTTAAACGTACCTACTTACCTGACATGTTGAAATATCTCAGTGCGAGAGGTAATACCTCTCAGGTTTCGGCATTGAAAAGAACGTTCTTTTTGTCAAATAAATTGTTGTAGAGCAGAAAACTCTACTATCCATAAAATTACCAGTAAACTATGACGACTGAAATCAAACGACATTACCATGCAAATCATAGGCAGCGATGTGCGGGCGCACTGTAGTTGTTTGTTTCTTAACGGGCCGTTAGCAGTTGATTAGCGCGCTAATCACGCGTGCAGTCGGATGCCGCCTGTATGGTGACACTCACAATAGCCTATTCAGGTGAGCAGGGCTGGCATTACGATTAACCAGCTCAATAGAAAACCGGGAAGTGGGTCAATTTTAAGTTGCAAGATTTGACGACAGACACCAGACATGTGAAAGTAATAAAAAGCTTGTAAAATAAGCCTAACGGGGAATTATCTTTCTCGTCTAACTTGTAGAACCCTAAGTGGTAAGGTTAATAAAAATACTTTTCATCTACATGTTTGGTGAATTCCGCTGCGATTTAAGGGTAAAAATATAAATAAATACCTTTTGCTAGCGACATTTCGCGATTAAAACTGTTTAGTACTTGCTCATACAATTTGAAATATTAGAACTCTACATATTACGAGTAGGGTCTTTTCCAAGACAAAATTACTTTTTCCTTCTTCAAGTCCCCAAAAATGTAGAATCAAAATGTGTTGAATGTTAGTACAGACGGCCCGTATGTAAAAGTCTAAAATTGCCAGCGTTATTAATAAATTGAGAACCATTTTACAAACACTCGATATAAATTAACCGCCTCTGTGGTCTAGTGGTAAGACCACCTGCTTCAGACGCAGAGGTCTCGGGGTTCGATTCTCAGTGGGGGCAGATTTTTCTGTTCGGTTTGGTTGGTGGTAGGGCTTGTTCTAAGTTAGCCTGGCTAGCTACCACCATCTTACCTAAGTCTGACGCCATAACAACAACGTTAACAGCATTGTTGTGTTCCGGCAGTTAGAGGTAAGATAGCCGGTTCCTCCGTGGTTGAGGATTCCGGGTGAAGCTCGCTTCCACCTTCGGCCTGATCATCACTTACCATCAGGTGAGATACAGGCCAAGAGTTTCCTCGTAGTGTATAAAAAAATACAACCCCTTTTAAAGTTGAATAAGACTTTAAGGGTAGTTGCTGTGTAATAGCCTTTATTAGCAGCTAACCATGCGTTAAGCTGCGCGATACATTGTGAAACTTTCGAACAACTCGTACAGCTTCCGTTCAGCACTCGTTTCCTCGCCGCGACTCGCGTGTGAAGGAAATGAACTGTGGAAAATTGGGGGTGATGTTGAAGTTCCTGAAAATAAATATACCTATTGCCGTAGTTTGGTATCAGTGTCTTTTTCTCTATGTTCAATTATTTATGTAACGTATAAATGTAAATTACTAAAAAGCAAAAGAATCCATTCAGTTTGCATATCTTTTTATTTCTCAGTGGTAAATCCATTGCAGATCAAAATAGCCAGCTGTATGTAATAGCAAACTAGCCAGTCAATTATAAGCTAACAATTTGTTAATGAATATGACATTGTGTCGCATTATTGACGGCAAAATTGGAGGGAGAATTTCACAGCACGCAAAAACAGACCTCAGGCTATTTTGATACGCGATTTTCTTTAGAAAAGTTTATGTTTACTTTTTCAGGCTCTTTCGATCCGATTCTTTCTTTTGGAAAGGTTATTTTTACTTTATTTTTTCTCATAACTTCCTCGTTGTAAAACCCCAAAACTTGGAACTCTTTTCAAAGATTTTTGATTCTATATTTCATTTATTTTTGCATTTTAGCTTTTAAAGAGCAATTTTACCCGTTCCAGTAGGATTTTTTCTTTAAAACCCATTAATTTGGTTTTAATGTGGGTCCCGATACAGGTTAACCTTCCCTTGTGGCACCCCTATACACGCCCATATCCCGGCGGCTTGCGTGTCCTTTTTGTGTCGATTGTCTTGCGCAGCCGGCGCTATGGCAATCAGTAAATGAATCTGATATTGTTTTGCTATCGTTGACTACTATGCATGGGGAAACGCTGTCATGAACAGCACTTTTCGAAAAGGACTTTTTGTCTGTTTGTGTGCCTTTGAGAGGTTTTTATTTGTCAAAACTGTAATTTGTATCTTTGTTAAGAGTTTTCCTTTTTAGTTTTTTGGGTTCTAATGAAGTTATAAAGAAAGAAAAGGAGCAAAGCCTTTCTCAAATTGTCCCATAATATGTACTAATACCTCCCTAGTTCCCTAGATGAGGCTAATATTCGTTGTAGAGTCGTTCTGTGAAAACGTATATTGGAATTGAATTCCAATCAATTTAAAACGTCTTGAGAATTCGCTCATTTCATCAGATCGTTCAATTTGCGCGTAAATCCATTTTAACACACTCTATTTGTTACGTTTATTTAGGATTACACTTTTACTTATTTCTTCACTACAACAAACATAAACGCCGAGCAAACTTATTCAGAGGAACCACGGATGTATCTAATATGTAAATAGATAAAGATCTATATCTATATCGGCTATTCGGTATTGTAAATGAACCTAAAATTGCTCGACGCATGTTCTCTATCAGTCCGATAGCAATGCACAGTTTGCACAGGGGGAAAACTGTCATAAACACAAACGGTGTTATCATCACACAGCTAACACGTCTATATCACACATTATCACAAATAAGCAAAATCCTGCCACTATTTACGTAGGTACTAGATTTTGATAGTGGAAAATTCGATTGGTATTTGGACTAGGTATTATTGTGTAAAATGCCTTTAAATGACGTTTCGGGATTTAATAGGGGAGAGTTCGGTATATTGTACCGCCGGGTAAATTGTACCACCCTCATATTTCGTAAAGTATTTATTGAATGTCTGTAATTGCAACACTCAGCGATACACAACTAAAATCAATTAATATCGGCCATGTGGTTTTTGCCGTGACAACAAACACGTGTGTTTTATTTTGAAAAGTATTTTTTCATTGTTTTCAAGTAACTTTTGACAATACATGTTTAGAATGTAATTTTGTTAAATTTAATCACAGGGTGTTTCTAATATATTATTTAGAAGCGTAAATTAGTGTGGATTACAATTATTTGAAACATTTTTCGGTATTTATAAGCTATATTTTTTACCGATTTTTTAAAAGCACTATCACCTAGTCGGCTAAATTGTACCACATCAAGTTGTATGGAACTTTACCAAAGGATTTTGAAATTTTTTTTAGTAAATCATATTTTGAAGTTATAATAGCGTAGTTATGTTTGACTAACAATAAATGAAAGCAAAAGACTGGCAAAGTAGATTAGGTACAAGTGTGCGTTACGATAATTGGAATTACAAAACTTGTACTCAAAATCGTGATAACGTGTAAAACAATATCGATTGTCTATGTTATTAACTACTGTTCCTCTTCGTTTCCTAATTTGTTAAGAATGTATCGTATAATATTTTGCCATAGTTTTTTTAAAGGCTTGAAATTTATTGAAATCCAATTTAGTAACCCTGTGGTACAAATTATCGAACCGGTTGGCTAAATTGGACCGAAGCTCTGAACTCGTACTTTGTTGATTTGTGCTAAATATACAACAATCATGTTAATTAATACTTATGAAATAGTAAGTTGAATAATGTATCTTTTATTATATACCATGGACATTAGCAAAAACAAAGGAAAACTATGTGTAAAATGGGATTGAAAAAAACTGGTCCAAATTAGCGGACTCTCCCTTAAATGGCAATGCCAGATTTTGTATGGAAGGTGGCGTCTTTTTTTTTTCGCGCGGCCATCGACCAAACTTTGTTTTTTGATTTCAAAATAGTGTTTTAAACCAAACTTACTATGGCATGTATACCTCTAAACTCAGTCTGAACTGAGTTACGAGCATTAGAAGTTTAATCCTCAACCCTCATGATCAAATAAAAAGAAAAATTTTTACCCGCTACAGAAATTTTTATACTGATCTTTTAAGAAAACTCAAACATGAACACGAATCATTAGAACTAGAAAAAAACAAAAATTCTCCAAAAAAACTCTGGAAATCGATTAGGACTATAACACACACAAACAAAACTAAAGAAAAATCTCAAGCGCTTATAAAAATTAAAGACACAACAGAGAAATCTCTGAACCACTGCAATGAATTCTTTTCAACTATCGGTAAATGTTTGGCAGAGAAAATACTTACAAACACAAATGAAACTCAAAAGTCATTAGCAGCCAAGGTTTCATTGCAAGGTGCACCTGTCCAATCGTTGTTCTTGGAACCTACTGATGTGGCCGAAATCGAGTCCATAATAATAAATCTTAAAATAGATAGTGCACCCGGCCTAGATGGTGTATCAAATAGGCTATTAAAAGTAGTGAAAAACCACTTAATAACTCCTCTTACAGCTATCTGTAACTTAAGTCTATCTGAGGGAATATTCCNAGGACTTTTCTTGGGTGGTGGACATTTGGTTTTGGGCTCCCCGCATGGTGCAGGAGGGCAACCTGGAGGGCACTTTGGTTTACATGGGTTGGGGCAAGGTGGTTTCTGTGGCGGGGGCGGTGGCGGTGGTGGTGGCGGACAGGTAGGCGCCGGCGGAGGACATGGAGGATTTTTCTTTCCGCACCCTCCAACAACTGGATCTACTTGTGTGCTCTGCATTTTCAACTCCACAAATTCCTTGCAAAGTTCCATTCGATTCCGATCTCTTACTCTCTTCAGCATTTCGGACAATGATAGCGGCTTTTGTGGGTGTTCTTTCGGTAAAGTAGTGGGAGACATTTCACTTTTTGCTGTGTCTGCAGTAACATGAGGTACAGTGCCTTTATCAAATAGTGGATTCAATAACGTCTCTCGAGTTACTGTTCTTGATGTCTCTGATGACTCCTCTGTTTCTTTAAGAATTGGTTCTCTATTTGATGCAGAACCAATTGGGTCTTTACTTAACCCAGACATAAGCATTTGTTGGTCTGGTATCGGATCTGGTAAAGGAGCACTTTCAATGCGACCCATCTCTACAGCTATGACTGGCACTTCCGATTCTTCTTCATCTAGAGCTCTCCTTGATAACTCACTGGAGGACAACAAAGTGTGAGGAGAAAATTGTGGACCACAAGAGGGTTGTTCCTCCACTAAATTAATAGATTCAAAAGCTTTGGCATCAGAATCACGCACTTTCTTGTCATAAGTATTCACAAGAATTTGATAATGATCCGATTGATCAATAACATTTTGCATATTATTTTTATCAGTGAGTGATTTGTTTGGTTCTGAAGGAAGACCATCTTTTGGTATAACACCTACGGTATCTAAAATTTGACTTGGCGCAGGTGCCCTTTCGGGACCACTATAATCAGTTTCTTCGTAATTATGTATTGTGTCTGGCTCACTTTCTCTCGATATAAATGATAGTTGCTCATAGTATTGGTGAGGGGTAAGTGGTTCTTGCGTAGGTGAATAGCTTAAAAATACTGGTTTTTGCTCATCACTTTCTTTCATAGTTTCAGGTTTATTGAATTCTCTGATTAGGATGCCAGGTTCAGTGTGTGGGGATGTTTCTTTGGAAATAATGTTTAGATCTTCTTTGAGATGAGGTGGCTTTATTCGTTCCATTCTCAGAATATTAATCCCTTGATTATCATCTGCTTCGAAATTTATCGCAGGTGATGCCTTTTCAGCAATATCTGCTGCATTTTCTTTAAATTGATATGGTTTCGTGCTTTTCTTCGTGAGATGTTCAAGTCTAGTCTGTAAAAGATTTCTTAGTGTTTCAGCCTCATTGTAATTGTTTAATAAGTTTGTTTGAACTGCTCGTGGAGAAATGTCGCTTGGATCAACTAAATCAGTTAAAAGATTGGTCGATGCTAGTTTCTCGTGGAGAATAGCTGCATCTTCTTTCTCCATTTCCTTTAGTTCCTGTAATGAAATTTTTTCGCCTGTGCTGTTTCTTATGACAACTTCAAGTTCTCTGTGAAAAGCATCATCTTCATTTAAATCAACTGAAGTTCTTTGCTTTGATTTCAATCTTTCTTCATCTTTCACCGTTGAATGATCTGTCTTGTTTTTATCTGACATCATATCAGATTCACCTGACATAACTGCTGCAGTCATTTGTCCTAACAATTGTTGTGGAGGTCTTTCTTCCTTATTTCCACAACCCAAGTTAGTTAGATTTTCATTTTCAAACATATTTTCAACTCTAGATTCGATTGGGTCTGTTAAATGTATAGGCTGTATTCTTTCCACACAGAGAGAGTTATCTTCATCTTCATAATTTGAAATTAGATTCACCGAATTGGCTTTGACAGGCATAAGTTCAAAAGGTGGAGGCAAAATATTATTCAGGCTTTCTAATTCCTCTAGTCTTCTAAGTTTTGCTATGAAGTCCAGTTCAGTCTTCTCAACTGGTCTTCGGGGTCGTTTCATAATATCAGGCTGAATGATTCCAACATCGGTTGCTGTTCGCCTGGAGCCTCTTCGAGTACTCGGTGGAACACCAAGCTTTTCCATTTCTTTAAGAATCCGTTCGTCAATTTGACCACTTGGTGAATCTAGGCAGCGTCGTGCCAGTTCGTCGAAGTTGCTATCCTTTCGCGAAGTGCCTTTTCGGCGGCCTGATCTATCAGATGAAAAGTTTAGAATAGTAATTTTGTCAATAGTTCGTCGTTTTTTTCTGTTTCCTAATACTTTAGGATGTGCATTGAAGCCCTCGATCTTAGATTTGGCAGCAGCTTCGACTAATGGCGTCTCATCAATAACTTCGACCTTTTGTGCAAGTGTTTCCACATTTTCTTTGGCAGTCGTAGCTTGTAGTTCAGTGATTGGTATGCAAATGGGATCGACCACGTCACTCTTTTTGTCACCAGCATTCGAATCTTCCCCAAATATTTCTTTGATGATTCTTTGACATTTTTCACATTGGTTCTCTGGGTTTGACGGCATTTCAGGAGTCACCATATGCATGAGACTCTCTTTGTGCTTGGCACTTGTATCTGGGATGTAGTGAGTGTGTGGTGGGTTCGGCGAAAAAGCACGATCTATTATCCGTTGACATCTTTCGTAGTCGCTTTCGTCTTTGGAACCGGAATCTGTGCTTTTGTCGACTCTTCTTTGAACGCTGACAGATACTGAAAAATAGCGAGAAAAGTTTTATTAAAATGCCCGAAATCTTAATAAAATGTTGCAACTATGTTTGCTTTGAAAGTGATAGATATTGCGCGCCCTTTTTTCGCTATTTTTCCGCATGCTTAATCTATCCTCAGTTGAATATGTAGGGATATAATTAAAATAATATAAAATTACTAAATAAGTGTCAGTGTTGTGATGCTGTCTAAACTACTTTGAAAAGTAGAGTTCTCCCTGCTTCGTCGTGAAAATGTAGTGCAAAAAATAGGAGCATTTGAATAGCATGCAATAAACTTACATTTTTCGAATCGTCCAGGTACGTATCGTATATTTCCTCGAAGGAGACGTGGTACGAAATAAGCAAGTGCACAAACGTGCCGAAGTTTTGATACTGTAGTCCTTAACATCTTTGTGTAACTTTATACACGGTTGGAATTTTGGAAATGATAATTAGCGAAAATAACTACATTTTTCTAACATGAAAAAGTTTAAAAAGCCACGACAGCCAAATCAACGAAAAATTTGTCAGTTTAGCAATTGTTCTAGGGCATTTTTGTACTTCTTTTTTTGTCTCTAGATTCCTGTCTTCTGCAATAATCTGCCAGTACTAGAACTTGGACAAAAGTCATTGCTTAGTGTTTAATTTATAATATTACTAATAAGTGCTTTATAAATCTCAGTCACTAATAAAAATGTCACGATTATCTCTTTAGTGAAAAAATGCAACAAAAAATTTAATAATTTGTGGCATTTTGGTTGCGCTACTCTTTCAAAATTAAAATTTATGTGAACGCAACTATAAAATGCTACGTTCCGTTTCTAGCAGTTCGCGTCGTAGTTTATAGTTTATCGAGTTTTAAATTTTATTGAGAAATATTTCAAATAAGCATTATAAATTATATATCCAATATTTTATACTATGAATACAAAATTAAGAAATCTAATTATTAATTCAACTTTATTTTTCCCTTAATTTATTACAGTTTGCAGTAAATAATTATTATGGTGCGAGGTGTTTGATTTCTAATCACACTATGTGAAACGAAACGGCTATTCAAATGCGAGAAAATAACAAAAATGGCTGAAGAACAGGTGAGTATCAAAATATTACGATTATTGCATGATTTTAACTGAATTAGAGGTTGACATTACGTAGCTAACGTTATTTTATAATACCCAATCTATCCTCCATATAAAAGTTTTGTATTGGCCGATTATTTTCCATAGATTCAGGACAACATTTCCGGAGTAGATGTATGGAAGAGAGAGTTTCTTACTGGAATTATTCATAGTAATTAACTTCAATTTAGATTAATGAGAGCATCAATTCGTAATGAATCAACAGACTTAGCGAATGGTAGGTTATTTGCCGGCTTTTTGGTTATATTTTGTTGTTTTAGGTTGACGTACAAGTTACCCTTGAAATTCAATCAACAAATACTATTTTTGTCAGTGTAGGGAAGAAATCTTGAAGTTATTCGATAAATTTGAGCAATACAACGATGGGGAATTGATATTTTGGGGAAAAGTTAAGTAAATAAATCTAAGTTTTGGCAAATCCCCCAACAATAAGAAGCCCAGAAAAAAAACACCAAAAATTAAGATTTTAGTTTGATATAAAACTCGAAATTAATATAATATCAATGTAATTACGATAGTCAATGAATTCATTGTCATCAATATTTTTCCATACATTTCCATGAAAATCATGTTCATTTTATTCAATGAAGAAAAACCTTACTAAGGTTCTAAATATAACTGCAGTTACTGCAAAAATGACTCTGCAAAGTTTAGTGTAATCTGGGGGCACGGCAGTGCCCCCACCAAGTCTAGCAAAAAAGCGGCACGGCCGTACCATCCTTTTCTCGAAGCAATTCAGGCCATTTTCGACCGCCTGTAACTTCGTTGTGGATAAAACTAGAAGGCTGAATTTTCATTAGCTATGCAGGCATTGTAAAGACACGGTATATTTAAAATTTCATTCAATTTGAACCAGTAGTTTAAGAATTATAACGGGTCAAAATTACTTAATTTTGTCACTCACTGACTGACTGACTGACTGACTCACCGATCATCAAAATTCTAAGGCACTTCTAGCAGACCTAGAAGCTTCAAATTTGGAATATAAGTAGTGTTTGGTGTATGAATCAAGGAAAAACTAAAATATTTGGGGGCACGGTAGTGCAACCGCCAAGTCGAGTAAAATTTTTCAATTTCGGTCCAGTTTTCTAGATACATAACTGCTGTCTACAAAATACAAAAAGAAATGAGATCCCATCAAAAACAATACTTGTCAAAAAAACCAAGTCTCGCAACTCAGTTGTTCTACGGTAAAAAGTTGTGAGATCCATGTAATACCAAGTCCAGGCCAGGAAATCTTTAACATTTTACATAAATATATTGACTTGGCCATCGCATGAGAACACGTGTAAATTAAATTATTTAGTGCGATGGCCAAGTCAATAATTTATGTAAAACGTTAAAGATTTCCTGGCCTGGACTTGGTATTACATGGATCTCACAACTTTTTACCATAGAACAACTGAGTTGCGAGACTTGGTTTTTTTGACAAGTATTGTTTTTGATGGGATTAATGTTACAAATATTATCAATTTCAGGTTTTTATAACTCGAATCACACATTTTTTTACATAATAATTAACACATTCAAGTAACCTAGTTTTTATTTACAATAAACAGATTTTTTTTAAACTACTAGGCAAACCTAACTCTAAACAAAATAAAAATATAAACTTATTTATTACTCAAAATTCAAGTTGCAATATACAATTGAGTGCAGATATTAGATATTCAATTGCTTGCATCGGAGTAGAAAACCTATTTCGTTCAATGACCTGTCAATTTTCATGTAAATATTTGAACCATTTCATATTTCAAACGCAACTTTAAATTCGGACCAGTAGAAAAGGGCACGGAATTTTTCATTATTTATTCTGTGACAAATTCGGGGAATCCCCTTTTTTTGAATGATATTTTGTAGCGAATGGCAACACTGTATATTATACAGGGGTTCCCTGTATTTTATTTTGTGCTAAGATTGTTATTCTTATTAGTATGAATTCTGATCAAATGGGTTTATCCCATTTTTTCGCGAATATATTGCCACCATAAATTGAACTTTATCTACTTATCTTAAGATCGAAAACCAATAAAAAATTCTAACATGTTGTGCCCTGTTGGTTAAGAAACATTGCATTTGGGAGTGGTTCTATTGTCATAACATAACAATAGTTTTTATTGACCCAAGTATCAACACAATGTACTGAGTAGGGCAGACTCACAGTCAGCCATACTCGTTAAGTAAAAGAAGTATTGGTTGTTGTGGTAAACTTTATGCAGTTTCAAGAAAAATAATTTGATTTATTAGGTCTAGCAGTAGCAAGTAACTTAGTCAGTGCCTGAGGTACATGACCGGCACGGGAGGAGTTCATTGTCATATAATTTGACTGAGCATGATGACGTTACAAAAACACCATCCCCCCTAGACAAAACGCACTTTTTGATCGAATCGAAAGTAGAATAATAAATAATAAATCTTTGGACAATAATTTCACACAGCGCCAGCTAGCCCCAAAGTAAGCAACTTAATGCTTGTGTTATGGGTGCTAGCTTAACGGATATACTACTTATATACTTTTTTTTTTAAATACATACATATTATACATAGTCACACCCAGACCCGTCACAGAAATTAAAATTCATCATTTCAATTTCTGCCCGGCCGGGAATCGAACCCGGGACCTCTCGGCATAGTAGTCCGTTCTGAACCACTACACCAAACGGCCGTCAAAACTCCATACAAAAAAGGGGCTTTTCGACCACTTTTCGACTGGTTTGCGATTATAATTTGCACTTTGTCTAGACCCACAGCTCGTGCCACTTCCATACGTCAGGCACTGACTGAGTTAGTATTTTCAATTTTTTTTCTTTTCTAAAGGTCTGTTTGCCAGACAATAAAATCTTTCTTCAGTTTTAAGAGTAGGCGCACACCGTTGATTTTTCGTCGGCCGATAGTTTAGTCGGACAGTTGATCAGTATGGGCATGTATGGGAGTGCGCACACTACGCCGATTCGATTTGACCGATTCTTCATACAATTTAAAATCGGGCACAACTATCGGCCAACTAAAAATCAACGGTGTGCGCCTACTCTAAAGGTCTGTTTGCCAGACAATCAAAGCTTTCTTCAGTTGATGCATGATAGCTGTCATTATTAGGTCATGTAGTAGGCGGATGGAGGATTTCATACCAATATTATCAGTCTCTTTTGATCTTTTCATATTAATGAAATAAGCATTAGTCAGAGAGTGACAAAGCATTTAATTCTAGAATATTATCAATATCGAACAGTGACCAAAGGCAAAGGTGCAGCGTCACGTTCAGTCGACAACATTACTGAGTATAACAAACATAGTGTAAAACATTTTATTGCACTAGTTCAGCAAACGACAGATTGAACTGACGACCTATTGACTACTACTTATTTATATTTTTAAACCGGCAGACAGTGGTGACTGAGTTAGTTGCGGCGCTTCTTCTCAGCACTTGCCAAATGTTTGTCTCGAAGCGCTGGTAGGGCAAAATAATAATGAGACATGTATTCGGCTATGTACAGGCTCCTTAAGAGCATTTGACGATTTGTATGTACTAATTTAATTAGTCTATACAAATAAAGATAGTTTTGATTTTGATTTTGACCCTCGAATCTGCCTCTACAGTCCGATACGTACACTGTAGGGCTGTCGCCTCAATCGACTAAAAGAAATACTTAAATCAATAAATTATTAGGATTCCTGCATTGCTATGATTGCTATTCCTGATGCTAAACTTATTTATCTTAAAAACTAATTTTGAAACAAAAAAATAATATTGCCTCAGGCGTCCCTTTCGACACACATTTTTAGTGTTTAAGTTCTTAGTTTTTATTTAACTAAGCCTAGGCCCACCGATTTTTAATTGGCCGATTGTTGGGTCGGGCAGTTAGTACGTACATTACACCAATTTGGTATCGGTCGATTCTTCATACAACTTAAATTCGTTGTAAAACTTAACTGTTTTAGAGTCGCGCTGACCGCTGCCTGATCGTCAGCGCTGACAGATCAATATCATCAATATGTATGTAATAGAAGGGAACGTTCCTGAGTGACGCTGATCGCTCTGCGCCGACGCTTCATACATTTCGGCTGTCAGCGCTGACGGTCAGCGTGACTAAAACCAGCCTAAAAGTCGGCGGTCTGCGCCTAGGCTAAGGGAAAGTTTTTATCTATGTTTGTATGTCCTGTTGCAGGAGGTGATTCAAATAGAAATACTGTGCAAGCAGCTGTATGAGTCCCAGGACCCGATCCTCCGGGACCAGGCGGAGAAGGCTGTTGTTTCCTTCCAGGTACTCATTTATTTATACACTAGCGGCAGCCCACGGCTTCGTACGCGTGGATCCCGTTGAGGGGTGGAGTTTCGTAAAATCCTTTCTTAGCGGATGCCTACGTCATAACATCTACCTGCAAAGACAATGCCGGAAATTGGCTTTTTTTTTTCGCGCAGCCATCGACCAAACCATGTTTTTTGGTTACAAAATAGTGTAATAAACCAAACTTACTAGTCATAGTAAGTTTGGTTAACATCAAATAGACATTGACATGTATACCTCTAAACTCAGTCTGAACTGAGCTGAGTTACGAGCATTCGAAGTTTGATGTTTTACATACTAAGATTTGCTTTTTGCGCGCAAGTTTTGTAAGAAATTGCAACAAAATAGTGATGTCTTTTTTTATTGCGCTAATTCTTCTCCATACTGATGTCTGGAGCCTATAATTGATGTTATTGTTTGTTTACACATACAATGTCACTATTTTGTTGCAATTTCTTACAAAGCTTGCACGCAGAAAGCAAATCTAGTATGTAAAATCATCAAACTTCTAATGCTCGTAACTCAGTTCAGACTGAGTTTAGAGGTATACATATTATCATAGTAAGTTTGGTTTATTTTATTACACTATTTTATAATAAAAAAATAAGGTTTCGATGGCCGCGCGAAAAAAAAAAGACGCCACCTTCCATACAAAATCTGGCATTGCCATTTCAGCCCGATCCGTCCAGTGGTTTGGGCTGTGCGTTGAAAGATCACTCACTATGTCAGTTAGTCAGTGTGAGTTATATAACTGTTCTTCTTCACAGGAGTCCCCAGACACCCTGAGCAAATGCCAGGCGCTGCTGGAGCGAGCCGACTCCTGCTACTCCCAGCTGCTGGCCGCCACCACGCTCACCAAGCTCATCAACAGGGAGAAGAACTACCAGTAAGACTGCTTTCATAACGACTGGCGTGTTAGTATAGGGGAGCCTGTCAGACACCCTGAGCGAATGCCAGGCGCTGCTGGAGCGAGCCGACTCCTGCTACTCCCAGCTGCTGGCCGCCACCACGCTCACCAAGCTCATCAACAGGGAGAAGAACTACCAGTAAGACTGCTTTCATAACGACTGGCGTGTTAGTATAGGGGAGCCTGTCAGACACCCTGAGCAAAGAAGAACTACCAGTAAAACTGTTATTATAAATGCCTTTTTCCTGTACTACGGATTTCAGCACGCGTGTGGATTAAAGGTCATAGCACACCTATCAACCCGGAAAGGGATCAACTAACAGGCGTGAGGCGAGGCGTTTATGTTACGGTGCGGATAAGTTTGCGTTGCAGTAAGGAGTTTCATAGAAATAATACTGACCGCCACTAATTGATACGGTTCCGATCCGTTTCCGGGTTGATAAGTGTGTTTTGTCCTTTAATCCGTATGCGGCTACACGCACGCGGAACGCTGATCGGCTGCGGGCACACAATACAAAATCTTTGTCCTGCGTGGAACCAGCAGCGTGATTTTACACGCACGAGGACAAATGTATCTTATCCTCTAATATCGATAAAAAGCCTTTTTATCATGTTGCGTATCCCTTCAGGAATTGCTTATATTTCACAACACATTTACCAACGGGACTATTCGTACCTCTCGTTCCCACCGCTGCAACTCCTGTTTAGCCAGGATCTACAGTTTGACCGCCATAAAAACCCAACCAATGAAGGTCAAGTTTGTCCCCGGGGAAAGTTAAACTGTCATTGTTGGACATTACCTTACCAATATAAATGTGTTCTCCGCAGGTCTTCGACCAGTTTGTCGGTGCAGCAGCTGTTGGACATACGGAACTATGTTCTCAACTACCTGGCCACACGGCCCAAACTCGCAAACTTCGTTGTACAGGTATGTACAACCATGAATCTGAATTATCTGAACTAGCAGTCTCGACTTCGTACTTACTATCTAAACCCCGGTCCGTGAGCACGTAGAATTTTGTCGAATGACCCCAAGCTACCCATCCTTATTGTTGCTATCGCGCTCGCACACTCACTGCGGGCGCGCGTCGCACAGTCGCGACAGCAATATAATTACGCGCGAGCAATAAGGATGGGTGTCTTGGGGTCTTTTCACAAAATTCTACGTGCTCACGGACCAGACTATAACAGACAATCCGTTGGTTAAGTTTTATCACCACGTAAATCATTGTTTGGCGGCTTTGACATTTTGATGCCATTCGTTAGAGAATCGAAAGACGCGTCGTTTCGTCCAATCTCCTGAAAAGTTGCTAAAAATGACTTACGTGGTAATAGAACTTAAACGACGAATTGATCGTCGTCATTGAGATACTACGTCGCGGACTACCCGCAGTTATTAAATAAACTAAAAACATTACACTTATTTTTTGGGTAGTTTGGTAAAAAGTTACCCTGTATAGGCACAGGGTGGAATGGTAAAAAGTTACCTATACAGTGTGGATTCGATTAGTCATCTCCACTCGATTATTTTTAAACTATACGAGATATCGAAAAACTGAAAACTTTTGGTAACATTGAATTTTCGGATGGATCTAGTTTATTCTGTAACCTATTAATGATACCGTTTGATAGAGCTCGTGAAGCACTTTCAGAATTAGTAACAAGTTTTTCAATATTTTGTATAGTTTAGAAATTTAATAATAGAGTGAGATCACTTATCGTTTCCACTTGATCTAGGTCCACCATATCAAAATGAGTCAAGCCATTTTGCTCTTATAAATAATGTAACTAACACTTTATTATAGATATCCTTGGACCGTAATTTATTAATTTAAATATCCCTTTATTCCCAGTCGCTGGTATCCCTGTTCGCGCGAATCACGAAGCTGAGCTGGTTCGACACCGTTAAGGAGCAACTGGTGTTCCAAAATGTTATGGGAGACATCACCAGCTTCTTGCAGGTAAATATTCTAGGTTTTCGCTGTGACTTGCTGTAAGTTCGTCCGTTTAGATATTAATAAAAAGTAGCCTTAATACAGTGCCGTAGTGTGCCTTAGTTTGGGGCCCCGTCTCATTGATACGAAGGTCTCTAGTTCTCTACATTCCTGCCTAAATAGCTATAGTCTGGTCTGCAAGAACGTAGAATTTTGTCCAATGACCCCAAGCTACCCATCTTTATCGCTCGCGCGTTATTATGTTGCTGTAGCGCTCGCACACTCACTGCGGGCGCCCGTCGCACAGTCGCGACAGCAACATTAATTATGTCGCCCGAGCGATAAGGATGGGTAGCTTGGGGTCATTGGACAAAATTCTACGTGCTCACAGACCAGGCTTTAGGTGTTATTCTGGTTTATAAGCTGTAGCATTGTCCATCCTAGACTGCCTACAAAGCAAAGTGACTAAATTGCAGTTAATTAACTAAAAGCAATATAACTTCAACAGCAAAATCTAACCTGATATACAGTAATAGTTAAAACGGCCAAAAAGTTAAGTTTGAATTTTATTTGATTTTAGATGTCTTAGGGCCGATTCGACCAAACTTTTTTCCGAGAATAACTTCTGGTATGTTTGGGAAATATGTCAAAACTGACGTTTTATTCTGAGATTAATATTTACTCTTGTTTGGTCGAATTCACCCTTAGTTCTTAGATGTCAATTTTAAACATTTTAGAAATTAAAATAATCACGTCATTTTTGAAGGAGCCTCTCTAATTTACCAAAATAAATAATTTATGTTATTCTAGGATAAGCCGATGTCAATTTTACTTGATTCTTTACCTTTATCATACGTTTCGTTTAATCTTTTCTATTCTTTACAGGGCCCAGCTGAGATGTGCACAATCGGCGTACAGTTGCTGTCACAATTAGTGGTGGAAATGAACCAGATGACTGAGAGGGAGGACGCCAATCGCGGTCTTTGCAAGCACAGGAAGATATCCTCATCGTTCAGGTACAAAAGTGATCCTTATGTTCTTTGTATAGGGTCTAAAACAGATTGATGGAAGTAGCCGAAACACACTGGTCCTCTTCGTCTCGGAAGATCGATGCAAAAGATGACAGCAACAGAATATGAACTCTATTTTGATTGTGATAGGGTATACTAAAGTTAGTGTACAATAGGCGTACAGTTGCTGTCACAATTAGTGGTGGAAATGAACCAGATGGCTGAGCGGGAGGACGCCAATCGCGGTCTTTGCAAGCACAGGAAAATATCCTCATCGTTCAGGTACAACAATGAACCTTATTCCATTGAGATAGGGTCTCTTAGAGTTAGACTAAGACAGGAGAGTGCGAATTTGAACCGTATTCCATTGTGAGTGGGTACACTATTGACAAATGAACCAGATGACTGAGAGGAAGGACGCCAATCGCGGTCTTTGCAAGCAAAGGAAGATATCCTCATCATTCAGGTACAAAAGTGATCCTTATGTTCTTTGTATAGGGTCTAAAACAGATTGATGGAAATAGCCGAAACACACTGGTCCTCTTCGTCTCGGAAGATCGATGCAAAAGATGACAGCAACAGAATATGAACTCTATTTTGATTGTGATAGGGTATACTAAAGATAGTGTACAATAGGCGTACAGTTACTATCACAGCTGGTGGTGGAAATGAACCAGATGACTGAATGGAAGGACGCCAATCGCGGTCTTTGCAAGCACAGGAAGATATCCTCATCGTTCAGGTACAAAAGTGATCCTTATTCCATTGAGATAGGGTCTCCTAGAGATAATCATATATTATATGGGCTAAGTAACTGAATAAAGACGGTTTAATACGCGAGTTTGAACCGTATTCCATTGTGAGTGGGTACACTATTGATAAATTAACCAGATGACTGAGCGGGAGGACGCCAATCGCGGTCTTTGCAAGCACAGGAAGATATCCTCATCGTTCAGGTACAAAAGAGGTTCATTGAGATAAGGTGTTTTACAGACCAACTAGATGCTCGCGGACTTCAGTTTCAGTATCAGTTTTGACTACTTTGGGTGTCACAAACTATTTGACGCTGACTGTTCATGATGTTCTATTTCGTATAGTGGTACGCAACACTGTGTAAGCCTAAGGCAGGATTCACATTGACCGGCGCGAATCGGTGCGATTTGGCGCACAGCGCAGCGTCCGTTCGGTGAAAAATGCGGTGGAATTCGCGCGTCTGCACGCGTATCCGCTGGAATACGCTCGGAGCCGACCGGCTTCCGACGCATGCTCGCGCATCCGTCCGGATTGAAATGTCAGTTAATCAGTTGTAAGCAATGAGGGCTATCGTTTTAGCGCTCACCAGTTAGCGCCACTGTAGAGTAAGGTCCTGTCACTTACTAGTTGCGAAGACAGTGGCACCAACTGGTGAGCGCTAAAGTGGTAGGAGGACTATCGCATTTGCACTCATCAAGATGGCGCCACTGTAGAGTAAGGTCCTGTCAATCGCCAGGGGTGCCAACTGTTAAGTATAAAAACGATAGCCCTCATTACGACTCTAAGAACTGTTAACAAAATACTATTTTCTTTACGGCTGTGTAAGTGCGCTCCGACGCGCGCCGGTATATGGGCATCGTACCTAATTCGTGCCTTTTTTCTTACCATATCTTTATTTTTCCACAGAGACACACAGCTCTTCGAGATGTTCCGTCTCGCTTGCTCGCTCCTCTCCGCCGCTCGAGCGAAGGCATTGGACCTCAACGACGAGCGACAAATCACGCTCATAGCGGCGCTACTACGGCTCGCTCACAACTGTCTCACGTTCGACTTCATAGGAACTAACAGCGATGAAGCTTCGGATGACCTCTGCACTGTTCAGGTTAGTTCCACGATCTGTGCACTGTTCAGGTTAGTTCCACGATCTGTGCACTGTTCAGGTTAGTTCCACGATCTGTGCACTGTTCAGGTTAGTTCCACGATCTGTGCACTGTTCAGGTTAGTTCCACGATCTGTGCACTGTTCAGGTTAGTTCCACGACCTGTGCACTGTTCAGGTTAGTTCCACGACCTGTGCACTGTTCAGGTTAGTTCCACGACCTGTGCACTGTTCAGGTTAGTTCCACAATCTGTGCACTGTTCAGATTAGTTCCACGATCTGTGCACTGTTCAGGTTATTTTCCTTCGCGCCTGGTACAAGCACAGGTGCTGATTGACGACGAGCGTCAGATCACGCTCATAGCGGCGCTACTACGGCTCGCTAACAACTGTCTCACGTTCGACTTCATAGGAACTAACAGCGATGAAGCTTCGGACGATCTGTGCACTGTTCAGTTTAGTTCTTTTTTTCAGGTTATTTATTATAAATCAAAATCAAAATTATCTTTATTTGTTAAGACTAATTAAATTAGTACCTACTTGCAAATCTTCAAATGCTCATAAGGAGCCTATACATGTCTCATTCTTTTTTTGCCCTACCAGCGCTTCGAGACAAACATTTGGCAAGTGCTGAGAAGAAGCGCCGCAACTAACTCAGTCACCACTGTCTGCCGGTTTAAAAATATAAAAAAGTAGGAAGTTACAATACATTCAGAAGCAAGTTACTTACCTCGCGCTCCCGTTGATAGAAGGTGGCCTTTAAGACTCCCATTTAGCACGAGACCGCGTGGCAGTTTTGAATATATTTCTTTAGTGCCGTGCTAATTTCTAGGTTAATTGTTGCGTTTTGATACATACATATATATTTTATGTCAGGTATATCTTTCCTTGACCAGTCCCCTATAGCAGCTCATTAAAATCGACGCAGCCTTTCTCGATTTTGTTTTATGCACAAGTGTAGATTTTCATTCCTCAAATGCTCATCATCTTCATTTCATTTCGTCCCCGATGAGCACGAAAGCAAAAGACCATGACCCTCTCTAAATTACCAGAGGCAAATGGAGGATTTGGCTTACACTGCTAACGCTATCTGGTCAGATTGTTTGGGGATGCCTTTGGCATATTATGTTATTGAAATCTCGAATGCAATGATGAATAAATGAACAACCAATTAGAATAGGCTAGTTTCCTAAAAAAAATTTTTTAGTCCGTCATGTTTAATATCCAAAAATATTGGACACGTATATTTTTATTTGTCAATCTAACAAATAATTGCATAGTTATGGTGCGTTGAAGTTCCGCGCGGTGTCTCAAAGTGCGCCACTTTTAAGCACTCATTGACGTCACGGGCCTCTTCTTTTGAACTTTGGCGCGCTTTATCTCTTTAAATATTAATTAGTTTGAAAAAGTGAAAAATACGTGTAGAGTATTTTTTGATAAGTTAACTGACAGACTAAACCGCTAGATGGCGGGACGTGGATGTGGGGTCTGACTGCTGCGTGATTGGTGGATTTTGACATATCTGTCAATGTCATGTCAAAAATAACCAATCGTGCAGCATTTGGACCTCGCGTCTACGTACGTATCTGGCGGATTTTTCATTCGCGAAAACCCTCATTGAAACCATTTATTTCCAGATACCCACATCCTGGCGACCCACATTCCTGGAATCGGGCACTTTGGACCTGTTCTTCGAGTTATACCACGCGCTGGGCGGCGGGCCGGCGTCGCTGGCGCTCGCGCTGCTAGTGCAGCTGGCTTCGGTCCGGCGGTCGCTGTTCAGCAACAACGAGCGGGCCAAGTTCCTCAACCGGCTGGCGGCCGGCGTGCTGCGGATACTGGAGAACACGCAGGTGACTGTACCTTTAGACTAAGATTAATACAGCCTACACTGCTAGGACGGACGACCTTCTGGAAGCGCAGCGTGAGACGTCCACTTACAAGGTGGACAGACGACCTCTTAGAAAGCGCAGCTTGGGACGTCCACCTACAAGGTGGACAGACGACCTGTAAAGCGTAGCGTGGTACGTCCACCCATAAGGTGGACAGACGACGTATAAAGCGCAGCGTGGACAGACGACCTATAAAGCTCAGCTTGAGACTTCCATTCACAAGGTGGACAGACGACCACTTAGCAAACGCAGCGTAGACTGTCCATCTACAAGGTGGACAGACGACCTCCTAGAAAGCGCAGCGTGTGACGTCCACCCACAAGGTGGACAGACGACCTCCTGGAAAGCGCAGTGTGTGACGTCCACCCACAAGATGGACAGACGACCTCCTGGAAAACGTAGCTTAGGACGTTCACTCACAAGATGGACAGACGACCTCCTAGAAAGCGCAGCGTGAGACGTCCACCTACAAGATGGACAGACGACCTGGAAAGCGCAGCGTGAGACGTCCACCCACAAGGTGAACAGACGACCTCCTAGAAAGCGCAGCGTGGGACATCCATCTACAAGGTAGACAGCTGACCTGGAAAGCACAAGCGTAAGAAGTCCACCTAAACTACAAGGTGGACGGATGACCTCTTAGAAAGCGCAGCGTGAGACGTCCACCCACAAGGTGAACAGTCCTACTCGCTAGAGTCCGGCTCGCTGGAGCTGTCCTCGCTATAACGCGCTGGGCGGCGGCCGCGTGGCTGGCGCTCGCGCTACTAGTGCAGCTGGCTTCGGTCCGGCGGTCGCTGTTCAGCAACAACGAGCGGGCCAAGTTCCTCAACCGGCTGGCGGCCGGCGTGCTGCGGATACTGGAGAACACGCAGGTGACTGTACCTTTACACTAACATTCATGTAGCCTACACTGCTAGGACGGACGACCTTCTGGAAGCGCAGCGTGAGACATCCACCCACAAGGTGAACAGTCTTACTCGCTAGAGTCCGGCTCGCTGGAGCTGTCCTCGCTATAACGCGCTGGGCGGCGGCCGCGTCGCTGGCGCTCGCGCTACTAGTGCAGCTGGCTTCGGTCCGGCGGTCGCTGTTCAGCAACAACGAGCGGGCCAAGTTCCTCAACCGGCTGGCGGCCGGCGTGCTAAGGATACTGGAGAACACGCAAGTATGATTTTGATCCATATTTAATAATAATATAATATAATATCGTTTATTTCTCACCATAACCGTATACAAACAAGGTTCATTCCAAAACATAATTATGCTAGTTTACAGTAAAATATTGGCTATGGTGGGCTGACACCTGAACTAGGTAATGACACCTGTATCTCAAGTAGTCAGCCCTCCACCTCATAAAAGTTACTGATTTACATTTATTATGTGGGTACGTACACAATTTTAATAATTTAAAACTATTTCGGTAGTAGTCCTCAGTGCAGCGCAGTGTGTGTGTAATGCAGAGATAATGCGTAGTGCATTAGTGTGAGTATCCTAACATGCGCGGGTGATGTACGAAGTAGACGGTAGGTGTCCAGTGATGCGCTCGTTACTACGGCTGCGAGAAAATCAGCACGATGTTTTTAGTGACATGCGTGTGAGCATGATTGTGAGCGCGCGACATGATTTCTTTAGAATAAGACGCAAAATCAAAATAGACTTGCTGCTGGTGGCTTTAGATATTGGAGAACACACAGATAGGATTTTGATCCATATTTCTTTAGAATAAGACGCAAAATCAATGAGCTTCACTGTCGATTGACATGACCTTACACTATAGTGGCGCCATCCTGGTGACTGCAAAAATGCTCTTTGAGAATCATTACTTCGCAGTAACAAGCTCAGCGTAAGACGTCCATCCATACGGTGGCCAGATGACCTTATAAAGGTAGGAAGGCGCTGGATTCAGGCCGCTACCAACCGGTCAATCTGGAAGTCATTGGGGGAGGACTATGTTCAGCAGTGGACGTCCTGTGGCTGAAAAGATGATGATGAATATAGTCTGGTCTACGAGCACGTAGAATTTTGTCCAATAACTCCCAAGCTACTCATCGTCCCATCCTTATCGCTTGCGCGTAATTATGTTGCTATCGCGCTCGCATACTAACTGCGGGCGCCCGTCGCACAGTCGCGACAACAATATAATTACGCGAGAGCGATAAGGATGGGTAGCTTGGGGTCATTGGACAAAATTCTACGTGCTCGGAGACGGGTCTTTAGACATATCCTTTGACCGTGTCTTCAAGATATTGGAGAATAGTAAGCAGGTGATTTTTTTTTTATACTTTTAGAATAAGAAGCAAAATCAATTGAGAAAATGTTGGCATTTTGTAATTTACAGTCCACAGTGAATTTCGACTATGACGTCACGCTATAATGTCATTCAACCACCCAATTTTGTTGCAGGGCCTATCAGACCCCACGAACTACCACGAGTTCTGCCGGCTGCTAGCGCGATTGAAGACCAACTACCAACTTGGTGAGCTCGTCATGGTGGACAACTACCCGCGGCTTATCGAGCTGATCGCCAAGTTCACTGTGCAGAGTTTACAGGTACGTTATTTTATTCTACCCACATCACTCACCTGGTGGAAATATCCATAACGGAGAAACATCCTACTTCCTACCAATATTATAAATGCGAAAGTTTGGATGTCTGGATGTTTGTTACTCTTTCACGCAAAAACTACTGAATGGATTTTGATGAAACTTTACAGTATTATTGTTTATAACCCAGAATAACATATAGGCTATAATTTATGACGATCTGTGAGAAACTAAATTTCACGCAGGTGAAGCCGCGGGCAAAAGCTAGTCTCACATAAAGCAGAGTAAATATAAATGAGTAAGGTCATCTTCATAGAAACGCACCGAGCGCGGTTTGTATGTGAGCGCGCCAATACGTATGCGGCGCGCACGCACACACTGACAAAATTTAGCGTGGATTAGCGGGGTGATTAAGGCGCATACCTACTCTTTTGTATTTACTCTGCTTAAAGTGATGATCAATCAGGCGTGGAAGTGAGCTTCACCCGAAATCCTCAACCACAAAATCAAAATAAATAAAAAAATACTTTGTAAGTAGCCTCGTGGCTCGTACTTTTATACCGGACAGTAATATGAGCCAGTGCTGGTAAGAAGCAGCGCAAGAAACTCAGTCACTATTGTTTTTGATTTTACAAGAAAGAACTGGCTATCTCACAACAATGCTCTTAACATTGTTGTTATGGTGACAGACTTAGGTAAGATGGTAATATAAGATAGAATGTCTTTGAACCTTAAAACTAGCGAATAAGGTTCAAAATGTGGTGGGAACTATATTCCAAAAATGAAATGATTTTGGTTTAATTACAGATCTACCGTAACAATCCGTGGGTCAAAGCTGCGCGAACTATTAAAATGCTAAGCAGCAAATTGTGATTATTTATTTCTCTATTTTAATAAATGGTGTCTATTCACCTTTTTTAATTTTCTTTTCTTTTCCTTCACCCACGGATAGAAACCAAAGAGTAGTTACATATACAGGGTGTCCCAAAAGTAGTGTCAAGCCAAAGCCCAGAGGTAGAACATCACTAGGAACCCGAATCACCGCGACTAGAGATGGGTTTGTAGCCAGCTAGTTTGGATAATAACTGATTATTATCTATTAATAGCCATTATTTGCCATCCATTGGCTATTAACCCTGCTATTAATAGTTTCTTACGTTTTTTCTTCCACCTTTAAAATCAAATCAATATTAAAATCAAATATTACTCAAAGAAACAAAAAAGAACTAAAAAACATCAATGTAATTTATACAGGGTGGAAACGATAAGTGATCTCACTCGATTATTTTTAAACTATACAAGATTTCGAAAAACTGGTTACTGATCCTGAAAGTGCTTCACAAGCTCTTTCAAACGGCACCAATAATAGGTTACAGAATAAACTATAACTATCCCAAAATTCAATGTTTCCAGCTTCCATACTAAATCTATGCCGACGACACGATTTAGAAGTGCAATTTATTTTTTGTTAAATAATAAACTTAAAGAGTCGGTTAAATAAACTCGGAACTTGCATCTTATTTAAAATTATTTGTGAAAAACATTAGTTTTAGGTTTTACTATAAAATTTCCCAGTGATGAGTGCCATGACTGTGATAGTATTAAATGTATGGAAGACGGAAACATTGAATTTTAGGATAGATCCAGTTTATTCTGTAACTTGATATTGATACCGTTGGATAGAGCTTGTGAAGCACTTTAAGGATCAGTTACCAGTTTTACGATATCTTGTGTAGTTTTTAAAATTATGTAACTTTACCAAATGTATGGAAGCTGGAAATATTGAATTTTCGGATAGTTCCAGTTTATTCTGTAATCGTTTATTAGCACCGTTTGAAAGAGCTCGTGAAGCACTTTCAGGATCAGTAACCAGTTTTTCGATATCTTGTATAGTTTAGAAATAATCGGGTGAGATCACTTATCGTTTCCACCCTGTATAAACGNACTTACCCATCTCTAACCGCGACGATAGTTTTCCAGTTATGATTTTTTTTTTACAACACATACCTGTGGGCTTCGGGTTGACACTACTTTTTGGGGCACCCTGTACAAAGGAAGTTGGTCTACAGAAATTAATGACATAATTTTTATTGTATAACAATATAATGGTTTGGAAGCCACATAATACCTGATGGTCATAACAGAAGGATCACTCATTGTCACATAATAAATAGAGACTTTGTATACTAAGCAATATACGTAAATGCAATTCAGTTAGCTCATAAACCTACCTACTACATATTACAAAGGTGACCGATTTTTATGCGTTGCCTTAGCACTGGCCCATTTATTGTCCCAAAGCAGTGATAGGCTTAAAGTAATACTACGCTTTTTAAAAGCTTATAATGCAGAAAATAAATGACTTAAGACTTATATGCCTGCTAGCAAAAGCTTTTTCCTCTGATAAATTAGCTCATCCACCTACAGAGGAGTCTAAAATAACCTATTGATGATGACCAATCCACAACCATTTTAATTTCCAGATGTGGCAATTCGCACCAAATTCAGTACACTACTTGCTATCCCTATGGCAACGGATGGTGGCTTCAGTACCGTATGTGAAAGCTACAGAGCCACATCTACTTGAAACTTACGCGCCGGGCGTCACGGCTGCATACATCGAGTCGCGGCTCAACTCCGTGCCTTGTGTTGTGAGGTGAGTGGTTATTCTTAACGCGATCACAAAACGGTGTCTCTTGAAATTGTTGGGTAAAACTTGTGTAAAAGAGATCAAAGGGGAAGGCCTATGTTCAGCAGTGGACATTCTGAGACCGTTACCAGAAGCAAGAGTCAGGTATTTGCTACAGGTTTTGTATGGGGGTTATAATTATGAGATGGGTTTACGCGCTAGCGCTAAGTGGCGCAAATACAAAGCCTAAAACGGATTCCTTTTAGGGGGATGGACTAGCTAGAGGGATTTCAGGACTACAATATTCTTTTATAGAACTTGTGTGATCAAACAGTCACGTCATTGCTTTACAAAAAGTGTAATGTCAAGCTTTTGACAGTATGTCAATTGACTGATGTGTCAAGTGTCATCAACTAAAGCCCGGTCTGTGAGCACGTAGAATTTTGTCCAATGACCCCAAGCTACCCATCCTTATCGCTCGCGCGTAATTATATTGCTGTCGCGACTGTGCGACGGGCGCCCGCAGTGAGTGTGCGAACGCGACAGCAACAAATTACGCGCGAGCGATAAGGATGGGTAGCTTGGGGTCATTGGACAAAATTCTACGTGCTCGCAGACCAGACTATACAATATTGCTCAACTCTCTTTCCAGGGACGGCCTGGAAGACCCGCTAGACGAGGCGGGCACAGTGCAGCAACAATTGGAGCAGCTGTCGGTGGTGGCTCGCTGCGAGTACGCCAAGAGCTGCCGTCTGCTCGTCGCGCACTTCGACCGCGCGGCCGCCGCCTACAGCGTGCAGCAGAACCCGCAGGAGATACTCGTCTTGCAGGGTAGGCTTATATTCCAACAAGGTTCTGGAGTGGAAAGGGAAAGCGCACAAGGTGGACCGACGACCTCATAAAGGTAGCAGGCCGTAGGAGATACTCGTCTTGCAGGGTATGTAATAAACGTAACGTCATGGGGTGCGATTGGTATCATAGCTCATAAGTGAGTATTAGACTAATTTTTGAAATTCTGGAGTAGAGCGCGTGGAAAGCGCAAAATGTGGACTGACGACCACGCTACAACCCGCAGGAGATACTGGTCTTGCAGGGTAGGCTTATAATAGTCCAACTTAGAGGCAGCAAGGTTTTGGGAGGCGTACAAGGTGGACCAACGACCTCGTAAAGGTAGCAGAAAGGCGCTGGATGCAGGCCGCTACAACCCGCAGGAGATACTGGTCTTGCAGGGTAGGCTTATATTCAGGCGTTTATCCAACATAGAGGCAGCAAGGTTCTTGAGTAGAGCGCGTGGAAAGCGCAAAATGTGGACCGACGACCTCGCTACAACCCGCAGGAGATACTGGTCTTGCATGGTATGTAGGAAACACAGCAACAACTGGAACCATTATGGTATATCTAGGGTCATTTTTCATGGGGGCCTGGCACCTGACTACTACTGGTATCATGGCTCATAGGTGGAGTACTATAAATAGACTCGAGGGAGGGGGGGCACCAGACCATTCTGGAGTGGGCCCCCCCTCCAGCCTACTCTGACCCCCCTCCGGCCTCCTCGGCCCCCCTCCGGCCCCCCTCTGCCCCCTCCAGACCCGTCTCCCACTCCGGCCCCCTCTTGCACCCCCTCTGGCCCCCCTCTGCCCCCTGCGGCCCCCTGGCCCCCTCTGGCCCCCCGTTAGCAGCTGTCAGTGGTGGCTCGCTGCGAGTACGCCAAGAGCTGCCGTCTGCTCGTCGCGCACTTCGACCGCGCGGCCGCCGCCTACAGCGTGCAGCAGAACCCGCAGGAGATACTCGTCTTGCAGGGTAGGCTTATGTTCAGGCGTTTATAAGCATAAGGTGGACCGACGACCGCATAAACGTAGCACGAAGGCGCTGGATGCAGGCCGTAGGAGATACTGGTCTTGCAGGGTAGGCTTATATTCAGGGGTTAATAAGTCCAGGAGTGGAGGCCACATACAGGAAAGCGCACAAGGTGGACCGACGACCGCATAAAGGTAGCACAGGAAGACTGAATACTGGTCTTGCAGGGTAAGTAGGAAACGTAACGTCAGGGGGTGCGCTTGGTATCATAGCTCATGAGTATTATAGATTGTAATTTTATTATAGACCACAAGACCATTCTGGGGTGGGCCCCCCTCCGGCCCCCTCTTGTCCCCCTTCGGGCCCCTATTGGCCCCCTCCGGCCCCCTCTTGTCCCCCTTCAGGCCCCTATTGGCCCCCTCCGGATTTCGGTTTCAAAATCAAAATCAAAAATATTTATTCAGTTTAGACCACAATTGGCACTTATGAGACAGATCAGAGAAACTGTTTCGTACCCCGCTGCCACTAGATTATTGTGGTGAACCTTGATGACAAATCATCATCATCATCTCAGCCATAGGACGTCCACTGCTGAACATAGGCCTCCCCCAATGCTTTCCATGTTACCAGGTTAGTAGCGGCCTGCGTCCAGCGCTTTCCTGCTACCTTTATGATGTCGTCGGTCCACCTTGTGGGTGGACGTCCCACGCTGCGTTTTCCGTTGATGACAAATAATGACAGACAATTAAATTTGTTTTTGTTTACAGGTCAATTAACGTGGCTAGTCTACATCATCGGCGCGGCTATAGGCGGGCGGGCGTCGGTCAACACGTGCGACGAGAACGACGCGATGGACGGAGAGTTGGTCTGCCGCGTGCTGCAGCTCATGGACCTGACGGACTCGCGGCTGGCGTCCGTAAGTCTCGCGTGGTCTCTAAGGCTTCTCGAGGCTTGCGCGGTCTCTAAGGCGTCCGTAAGTCTTGAGCGGTCTCTAAGGCTACTCAAGCCTCGCGTGGTCTCTAAGGCTCCGCAAGTCTCGCGTGGTCTCTAAGGCTCCGCAAGTCTCGCGCGGTCTCTAAGGCTTTTCGAGCATCGCGCGGTCTCTAAAGCTTCTCAAGTCTCGCGTGGTCTCTAAGGCTTCTGAAGTCTCGCGCGGTCTCTAAGGCTCCACAAGTATCGCGCGGTCTCTAAGGCTCCTCAAGTCTCGCGCGGTCTCTAAGGCTCCACAAGTCTCGCGCGGTCTCTAAGGCTTCTCAAGTCTGGGAGTCTAGGAGTGTCTGGCAGTCTCTGGGAGTCTCTGGAAGTCTCGGGGAGTGTCTGGGAGTCTCCGGGAGTCTCTGGTAGTCTCTGGGAGTCTCGGGGAGTTTCTGGTAGTCTCGGGGAGTCTCTGTGAGTCTCCGGGAGTCTCCGGGAGTCTCTGGGAGTCTCGAGGAGTCTCGGGGAGTCTCCGGGATTCTATGGGAGTCTCTGGGAGTCTCTGGTAGTCTCCGGGCGTCTCGGGGAGTCTCTGGGAGTCTACAGGAGTCTCTGGGAGTCTATAGGAGTCTCTTCGAGCTTCGCGCGGTCTCTAAAGCTTCTCAAGCCTTGCGCGGTCTCTAAGGCTTCTGAAGTCTCGCGCGGTCTCTAAGAAGTCTCTGGGAGTCTCGCGGGAAACGAGGCGGTCGTCGGTCAATACGTGCGACGAGAACGACGCGATGGACGGAGAGTTGGTCTGCCGCGTGCTGCAGCTCATGGACCTGACGGACTCGCGGCTGGCGTCCGTAAGTCTCATCATCATCATCATTTCAGCCACAGGACGTCCACTGCTAAACACAGGCCTCCCCCAATGACTTCCATAATGACCGGTTGGTAGGGGCCTGCGTCCAGCGCCTTCCTGCTAAGTAAGTCCGTAAGTGTACAAGTTCGTAACCGCATAGTCCGTAACTCCGTAAGGCTGATTTGCACCACCTAACTTGGACCATAACTTTAACGATAACCGGTGCTTTGTGTATGGAGTTTGACAGATTTTTGATGTTTGTCAAAGTTAAAGTAAGATGGTGCAACCCAGCCTAAGACCTAAGTGCCTACGCTAATGCCTAAAGCCGGTTCCAGACGGGTGTTATGTGTAATGTAAGATTGCATGTAATGTAACACGAATTCTACATGTGGACGGCACTACGAGCATTACATGTAAAGTGCTGCCCATAATATTTCCATTACATTACACGACACATTCCATTCCAGTCTGGTCTGCCGGAACCACACAAAGAAATATTATGAAAATTATAAATAATTTTGAAACTTGTCATTAGTGTAGTGTCGCAATTTTTTTTATTATATTAGTAACTAGCTTTTGCCCGCGGCTTCACCCGCGTGAAATTTAGTTTGTCACAGATCGTCATAAATTATAGCCTATATGTTAATCTGGGTTATAAACAATAATACTTTAAAGTTTCATCAAAATCCGTTCAGTAGTTTTTGCGTGAAAGAGTAACAAACATTCAGACAGCCAGACATCCAAACTTTCGCATTTATAATATTAGTAGGATTATTAATCAAACTGTCTGACTCTTATAATTTCCTTACAGGGCGGCTGCGAGAAACTAGAACTGGCCATGATGTCTTTCTTCGAGCACTTTCGAAAGATCTACGTGGGGGAACAAGTACAGAAGAACAGTAAAGTGTACCGCTGCCTCAGCGAGGTGTTAGGACTTAACGACGAGAGCCAGCTGCTCAGCGTTATTATGAGGAAGATGTGAGTCATTTATGCTATAGGTCTAGCTAAAGTCCGGTCGCCGAGCACGTAGAATTTCCTGCAATGACCCCAAGCTACCCATCCTCATAGCTGGGCACCGTTAATCAAATAGTTAACTTCGTTAATCGTTAAACCGTTAATAAAAAAATTAACTTCGTTAAACGTTAAAACGTTACATTTAGCAAGATTTAACGCAAGTTAACGTTAATCGTTAATCCGTTAACACATGATAAAAAGATGAAAAACCGGCCAAGTGCGTGTCGGAGTCACGCACAAAGGGTTCCGTACCATTGATTTATGAAATTATTTCGTTCAAAACAATTTTCGTTGGTACTTTTTATAGTAATGTACATCATATGTTTTTTTTAGATTTTTCATTTTCTTATTTTAGAAGTTAGAGGGGGGGGGGGNTTGGTACTTTTTATAGTAATGTACATCATATGTTTTTTTTAGATTTTTCATTTTCTTATTTTAGAAGTTAGAGGGGGGGGGGGGGACCAACTTTTTTCCACTTTGGAAGCGTCTGTCACGCAAACTATTCGGTTTAGAAAAAAAGTATTTTAGAAACCTCGATATCATTTTTGAAGACCTATCTATAGATAACCCCACACGTATGTGTTTGATAACGTGCATGCACGCGTGCCCCGACCCTGGTTTTCAGCGGGCGCCTCTCCATCCAACATTTTAAATAAAAAAAAATAACATTAAACAAAACATTGACAAAGAGGGCGCCACTATCTCACTGCACAATAAAAAAGAAGAAAAAAAATAAGGGTTCCTTTTTTTTCCATTTGGCTACGGAACCCTAAAAAGTAATTGTATGCAAGGTTCAAATAATTTCGAAAGCTTGTAGCGCAAACATAAAAGAGGATTAAATTCCGTGCGCAATTTTTTGAGGATTGCTGCCAAAGCAACGATGACCCAAACTTCATAATCCACCAACATTCTAACCTATATTGGGAGCATACGCTGACAAACTTTCAGCTTTTATAAAATGACGTAGGTCTGGTGTTCACCAGCTCTTAGTCTATAGTATCTCAATCTCAGAGACTTGGTTCAATTACAATACAATTTAGCACCAAAGTGCTCGAAAAGACAAATCCAACAAACCCAAACTCGATAAGTTTCCACCGTTTCATTTAGGAATTCCTATGGCCACCTCCTGACTCCATCATAAGGACCCTGGACATCATCTAGTACTAAAGTGCTCGAAAAGATAAATCCAACGAATCCAAATTCGATGCGCCACCTCCTGCCTCCATCATCAGACCAGCTTAATGGTACCATAACATTGCATTTTCATCGTACTTACATAAGTATACCAAATTTCAGCTCAATCGGTTGAGAACTGGTCTTAAATTCAGTTGCAAGATTTGTCCCACACATACTAACAAGTGAAGTCAATATAAAGCTTGTAAATCAAATAAATAAAAAAATACATTTTTATATTGTTTCGTTCTGATTACAAAAACTGTTGTTTTGGGTTCTGGAAGTTCTGGAAGCCCGAACGTACTTGTCAGAACGCGTTTTTCTAGTGTTTTTCAGCGTGGCTGCTGTATCTTTTTGGTAAATAGTAGGTATTGGATTAACGATTAACGGACTTAAGATAATTTAACGGAAGTTAACGAGTCCGTTAACATTTTTTAAAGTTAACTTAAAAGTTAATCCGTTAATAGAAATGTTAACTTCGTTAATTAACGATTAACGGATTAACGAGTTAATGCCCAGCTATGCCCATCCTTATCGCTCGCGCGTAATTATATTGCGCGACTGTGCGACGGGCGCCCGCAGTGTGTGCGAGCTGTCAGCATAAGAAATTTTGACTGACATGTGTCAAAGTAAAAACTGCCTTATTGCGCGAAGATACGGTGCAATCTAGCTTGATGGCGTCTTAGGCAGAGTGTGACACTTGTGAGTGACGTGTGTCAAAGTGAAAACGACCTTGCGCGGTAATACGGTGTAATTGTAATCTAGCCTGATAGCATCGAGCGAGGCGAGCCGCGACTACTTCATCATGTAAAAATTGTGAGTGACATGTGTCAAGGTAAAAACTGCCTTCTTGCGCGGGTTTAAGAGACAATATAAAGACCAGTCTCTACCAAAGCGGAGATGAGACGAAACGAAAGGAGACGTGCGGTTTGGTTATTTCCACCAAATAATTTCTGAGAGTTTATAAAAAGTATCTTTTATAAACAGTTTTTGTTCGATACCGTATCACATAAACTAGTATGTGACGTGACTACCACGGTGGCGCTATGATAAACTTTTATCGACGATTTTCTTTTCTTATGGAGCAAAAATTACAAAATGCCTCTATAAAATTTTATCCCTTTAAAGCGCTTTCAAGCTCTCATACAGAACTCTTAGTGCTATATGAATGTTGTATCAGAGTAAATACAAAGAGTAGGTCATAAAAATTCGGCGCAACTCCCCGCTAATCCACGTTAAATTTTGTCAGTGTGTGCGCATACGTATTGGCGCGCTCACATACAAACCGCGTTCGGTGCGTTTCTATGAAGATGACCTACTCATTTGTATTTACTCTGGTTGTATGCTATTAAGAAATGTTTGTTGCAGTATAACAAACCTAAAGTACTGGGGCGGCAGCGAGCAGATCATAGCGAAGACCCTGGGCCTGCTGAGCGACCTGAGCGGCGGCTACTCCTGCGTCAGGAAGCTGGTGAAGCTGGACGAGACGCAGCTCATGCTGACTCATCACACGGTGAGAAGAAACGGAAACTATTCCCACCACTGCAACTCCTGTGTAGCCAGGATCTACAGCTTGACCGCCATAAAAACCCAGCCAATGAATGGCAAGTTTGTCCCGGGCGAAAGTTAAACTGTCATTGGACCCGCAACAAATTTTCCGTTTATCGTGTACGTTTTTTTTTCGTCGATGGCGTATGTAGTTGTATGAGTGACTTCACACATGACACAGTATTCTGTATACAGTAATACATACATAAAACGTACACGATAAAACGGCCCGGTCCTTTATACACCCTCCCGTCACGATTTCAATTTTCAAATGAAGGGGTGAGTGGAGAAAGGTCTTAACTAACAAAATGAGTTATGAGTGTTTGAAAATGTTAATCTGCTCATACCACATTTGAATCCTGAAATGTATGAATGCTTGTCAGATAACACCTTTGTTAAGGTTAGACACGTAACAAAATTGCGTGTTGAGCTCATTAGTCGATTTTATCATCACTTAAAACCTATGTTCATGCAAAAAGTCGATAAAGATAAAGATAAAGATAAAGATACATTTATTTGTTCAAACATGTGTACATAAGGTGTTAAGTCAGCATTTAAATTAATGGTATCAACATGTCGTACCTTTGCGGTGTACAAATTAAATTAAAAATAAAATATCAATTACAATAATACTGCATAATCAAATCAAATTAAAATTAAAGTCAATGTTGCATAATCAGATTAAATGGAAAAAAATATATATTAAGAAGTAAATCAAAATTTGTCACTTAGGAAGTCCGTCAGATTATAATAACATTTTTCAATTAATAAATTTTTAACCTTCATTTTAAATTCATACAATTCTAATTTTTTTATTGTTAAGGGGATGTTATTGTAAATTCTAGGTGCCATACATAATATACTTTTACTCATAAGAGTTTCGATTCTTCAGTTTTGACAGATAACACCTTTGTCCACTCACCCCTTCAAATATTCAATTCTGTTTGCAGGCGGAGCACTTCCCATTCCTCGGCATCGCGGGCGTGGGCACCGCCGAGATGCGATGCCGGACCATGCTGTACACAGCGCTCGGCCGCCTGCTCATGGTGGAGCTGGGAGAAGACGAGGACACCTTCCACACCTTCATGATGCCCATCACCGGTGAGTACCGCGCCTCGCTCGGCCACCCGGGCGAGCTACCGCGCCTCGCTCGGCCACCCGGGCGAGCTACCGCGCCCCGCTCGGGCACCCAGCTGAGCTACCGCTGAGCTCGGGCTCCCAACTGAGCTACCGCGCTATGCAGCTGCTTGGCGCCGCTGAAATGCAGGGACGTATATTGTAATCTGGGGCGGAGGCGCAAAAGAATGTCTAGGCTTCTACTCGCAATTCGTCACAATAAATTTTGGAGGACACCGCCAGAGAGTTTGCCAATTAAATTCCCATGTAATTCACTGGTCCCCCATGAGTAAGGATTTGCTGATGATAAAAAATATTATTGTCATTCAAGAAGCTTTTTTTATTCCATTCCATTCATATTCGAAATGCGACAGAATAAAAACCAGTGATTTACAATTACTTTTTTTATAGTTTGTTTTTCTTCATCAAAATATAAAGGTAAACTTATCTTTGATACTAATTCTATTCGTATATCCTTCCAGCGGCGATGGAGAGTATAATAGGCTTGCTCGGTCCTCCAGAGAGTCCGTTATTCGCGTCTGAGGACGCCAAGAAGACCCTCATAGGACTAGCAAGAGACTTGCGCGGACTGGCGTTCGCGTTTAACACAAAGACCACTTACATGATGTTGTTTGATTGGATGTGAGTATACAATATGATTATCTACAGGGTGGAAACGATAAGTGATCTCACTCGATTATTTCTAAACTATACAAGATATCAAGAAACTGGTTACTGATCCTGAAAGTGCTTTACGAGCTCTATTCAACGGTACGAATAATAGGTTACAAATAAACTGGATCTATCCAAAAATGCAATGTTTCCGGCTTCCATACATTTAGTAAAATCGCATAATATTAAAAACTATACAAGATATCCAAAACCTGATTACTGACCCTGAAAGTGCTTCACGAGCTCTATCCAACGGTACCAATAATAGGTTACAAAATAAACAGGATCTATCTGAAAATTCAATGTTTCCAGCTCCCATACATTTAGTACTGCCACAGTGATGGCACTCATGTCTTAATAATATTATAGCAAGTAAAGCCTAAAACCAATGTTTTTTATGAATAATTTTAAATACAAATGCAATTTGGAGTTCAATTTAAATGTTTATTATTGAATTAAAAAAATTAACACTTCCAATATTGTAAGGCTGGCATACATTTAGTATGGAGCCTGAAAACATTGAATTTTCTGTAACCTATTCTTGATACCGTTTGAAAGAGCTCGTGAAGCACTTTCAGGATCCATAACCAGTTTTTCGATATCTTGTATAGTTTAGAAATAATCGAGTGAGATCACTTATCGTTTCCACCCTGTATACTACTAATATTATAAAGCGCTAATCTCAGGAACTACTGGTCTGATTTGAAAAACTCTTTTTGTGTTGGATAAAACATTTATCGAGGAAGGCCAGCAGCTAATAGGGGCGGAGCAGTAAAGAAAAATGTTGCAAAAATGGGAAATATCATTCAAACTACATATACTTTCATGCGAAAGAAGTCGCGGGCTCAGCTAATTCCTCTATTAGTTCTGTATTTTTAAGTTGACTAACCGTAAGATATGCATTTGAATAAAATAAAAAATATAATAAATGAAAATGCGTCAGTTTTGTGGTATTTATAAGTAACTTAAAACATTTTATTCATATAGTCCCACGATTCTGAAACGTCAAGTGTCAAAAATTTAAAACTGACAACCCAGAATAGATAGTAGCGCCCCGTTGATAATGTCATAGCTGGGACGGTTCATTGTTGGACATCTAAAGAATATTTACCCAATGTCTCCGTAACTCAGTGTTCATAGCATTCGCCTGACAAGCGAAAGGTCCTGGGTTCAATTCCCACCCGATGCGATAGATTTTTTCAAGTTATAAAGGTATCTTTAGCCGTTACTTGTTAATAGTACAATCCTCTATTACAGGCTTGCATTTAAACTTTGTGTGTACCTAAAACTGTGCTAATAAATTCCAGATACCCATTGTACATAAAAGTGCTCATCCGGGGAATCGAAGTGTGGTTCGCTGAGCCGGCGCTCACCACGCCTGTACTCAAGCTAACCGCCGAGCTCGCTCAGAACAGAAATCAGCGCTTACAACTGGACGTTAGCTCGCCGAACGGAATATTGCTATTCCGAGAGCTATCCAACATTATTTGTGCATACGGTGAGTTACAATCGGTTATAATAAGATAACCAGTTGTAGAACAGAACTCAGTGAGCCACAACCAATCGTAGAACAGGTAACAGTGAGCTACCAGCAGTCTCAGAACAGTAACCAGTGAGCTACAAACACTCGTAGAATAGAAACCAGCGCTTGCAACTGGACGTTAGCTCGCCGGATGGGATATTATTGTTCAGGGAGCTGTCCAACATTATTTGTGCTTACGGTGAGTTATCAAAACTTGTAGAAAAGAATCAGTGAGCTACCAGCAGTCGCAGAACAGTAACCAGTGAGCTATAAATAGTCGTAGAATAGGAACCAGTGAGCTACAAACACTAGATCAGGAACTAGTGAGCTACAAACACTAGATCAGGAACTAGTGAGCTACAAACAGTACCAGCAGTCTTAGAACTGTAACTAGTGAGCTACCAGCAGACTTAGAACTGGAACCAGTGAGCTACCAGCAATATAGGCGATCTTATTGCTAATGAGAACACAGCTGAGATGATGATAATGGTCATAGTGTTGACAATAATGATGATTTCTTAAACTGCTTGACCTGTGGTAGACTGGCAGAGAATGCTACCCGCCATAAGTCCGCTACTTGTACTCATCCATACGTTCAAAATGTATAAATAAATAATTTATTTCATATGTTTGTTTCCGTTGTTCCATAGTACGAGCTTTGCTTAGTTTGGGACTAGAGGCGCAGTGTAAAATATTTGGATATTTATTTATTTTTGAATGTTTTTGTCCCCAGGCAGCAGAATACTGACGGTGGACGTGAGCAAAAAGCAAATGTACGCGATGAAGCTGAAGGGCATATCGTTGTGCTTCTCGATACTGAAGGCAGCGCTCTGTGGGAACTACGCTAATTTTGGGGTGTTCAGGTAAGGCCTATACCGATTCGAAGATGAAAGATGTACGAATCAGCTATAATGATACCAATCGTATCATGATATTTATCATGCAGATGCGCCAGTGAGTACTAATCTGCGCAACTTTTGTCACCCCCTGATGCTTGGCACCCGGGGCGGACCGCCCTACCGACCGACTATAGCTTTCCGACCGCGGCTTCGCCCGCGTGGAATTTTGTCTGTCACAGAAATACGTTACCGCGCGCGTCCCTGTTTTAAAAAACCGAGATAAAACTATCCTATGTCCTTTCCCGGGACTCAAACTATCTCTATGCCAAATTTCATCAAAATCGCTTCAGTGGTTTAGGCGTGAAAGCGTGACAGACAGACAGACAGAGTTACTTTCTCATTTCAATATTAGTATACATAGATTTGTTATTTCACAAATTACAATAGTCGAGCGGCGGCGGGGACCGAACCCGCGTTCCCCGGATCACGAGTCGGCCAGTCCGACCCCTTCACCGTTCGGCTATCGTGGCTTCAAAATTAATTCCATTCTTTTAAATATTTATTTTGGTTGTTTTTGTGAGTGATAAATACGTTGTCTTCCCCAGGTTATATGGTGACGAGGCCTTAGACAACGCACTAAATATGTTTGTGAAGTTATTACTTAGTATACCACAAAGTGATTTACATGTGAGTATGATTTTTATTTATATTTTTGTATCTATCAGTCCGTATCAAAAAAATAATTATGACACTGTTTCCCAAACAGGCTCAAATAATACAGGGTGTTAGGTAAATGGGTATATGAGCCAATACTAGCCCATGTTAACATGGGCATATAAATGGTATGGTGAAGTCAGAAATTTGATATCATCATTTTAATTTTTTTAATTTTCATACAAAATAATTTTTATAAAATCCGATTTGTATGAAAATTAAAATAATTAAAATGAAGATATCAATTTTCTGACTTCACCTTACCATTTATATGACCATTGACCATGTTAACATGGGCTAGTGTTGGCTCATATACCCATTTACCTAACACCCTGTATAAATAGGGAAACCTGTTATTGACCATACCTCTATTAACTTGTGAACCCGGCGAACTTCGTACCGTTCTGGTTGTCATTGATATGGTACGACACCGCGGACTACCTATAGTTTGTTAGATACATTACCTTTCTTTTTTTTGGGTGGCCGGTTAAAAAATTTACTATATTTTAAACCAGGGTGTCAGTTACATTCTAAAATTCATCAAAACTTGTCCATCCTTTTTTGAGTTATAAATGGTGGTCTAGCTAGCGCATAATCTTAACCAGAGTAAATACAAATGAGTAGGTCATCTTCATAGAAACGCACCAAGCGCGGTTTGTATGTGAGCGTCAATACGTATAAATTTAGCGTGGATTAGCGGGGTGTTGGTTTTGCGCCGAATTTTGTCAGTGTGTGCGTGCGCGCCGCATACGTGTTGGCGCGCTCACATACAAACCGCGCTCGGTGCGTTTCTATGAAGATGACCTACTCATTTGTATTTACTCTGTCTTAACTGAGTCAGTGCCTGAGAAATCGGAGTGTCACGGGAGGGGTGGAACATATGACGTCACAAAACACCCTCCCGTGCCGTTGCCTGAGGCATGGCTAAGTTATGCATTAGGCCCAGAACAGACGGTGAAACGCAACTGCAACGAAACTGCGTCGGCCGTTTGGTGTAGTGGTTCGAAACGGACTACTATTCCGGAGGTTGCGGGTTCGATTCCCGCACAGTACAAACATTTGTGTGCATGAACATATTTGTTTGTATTGGACTGGGTCTTTTCTATGTATAATATGTATTTACAAAAAAAAAAAAGTATTTAAGTATGTTTATATCCGTTGTCTAGTACCCATAGTACAAGCTTTGCTTAGTTTGGGACTAGAAGCGCAGTGTAAAATGTCCAAGGATATTTATTTATTTATTTTATTATTTATTTATTTACTGCAACTTACTGATTTATCTGATGAATGAAACTGAAACTGAAAGTTGGTCGCGTCATGTGTGGACGCTATGGCAGAAACTTAGATGCAACTCAAAAGTAACTAGCAGTTGCAGTTTCGTTGCAGTTGCGTTTCACCGTCTGTTCTGGTCCTTAGACCTTTTAAGTCAACTTTATTTTATTAAATAGTCATTTTTCATATTTTTTTCAGGACTATCCAAAACTATCCCAAACATACTACGTGCTACTAGAGCGGCTAGCGCAGGACCTTATGCCGTTCCTCGCCTCGCTGCAACCGGAGGCGACGCTATACATACTGGCCTCCATCTCCGAGGGACTCACGGCTCTAGGTGACTTACAGGACTATCCACAACTAGCCCGGACTATCCACAACTAGCCCAGACATCCTACGTGCTACTAGAGCGGCTAGCGCAGGACCTCATGCCGTTCCTGGCGTCACTGCAGCCGGAAGCGACGCTCTACATACTGGCCTCCATCTCCGAGGGACTCACGGCTCTAGGTGACTTACAGGACTATCCACAACTAGCCCGGACTATCCACAACTAGCCCGGACTATCCACAACTAGCCCAGACATCCTACGTGCTACTAGAGCGGCTAGCGCAGGACCTCATGCCGTTCCTGGCGTCACTGCAGCCGGAAGCGACGCTCTACATACTGGCCTCCATCTCCGAGGGACTCACGGCTCTAGGTGACTTACAGGACTATCCACAACTAGCCCGGACTATCCACAACTAGCCCGGACTATCCACAACTAGCCCAGACATCCTACGTGCTACTAGAGCGGCTAGCGCAGGACCTCATGCCGTTCCTGGCGTCACTGCAGCCGGAAGCGACGCTCTACATACTGGCCTCCATCTCCGAGGGACTCACGGCTCTAGGTGACTTACAGGACTATCCACAACTAGCCCGGACTATCCACAACTAGCCCGGACTATCCACAACTAGCCCAGACATCCTACGTGCTACTAGAGCGGCTAGCGCAGGACCTCATGCCGTTCCTGGCGTCACTGCAGCCGGAAGCGACGCTCTACATACTGGCCTCCATCTCCGAGGGACTCACGGCTCTAGGTGACTTACAGGACTATCCACAACTAGCCCGGACTATCCACAACTAGCCCGGACTATCCACAACTAGCCCAGACATCCTACGTGCTACTAGAGCGGCTAGCGCAGGACCTCATGCCGTTCCTGGCGTCACTGCAGCCGGAAGCGACGCTCTACATACTGGCCTCCATCTCCGAGGGACTCACGGCTCTAGGTGACTTACAGGACTATCCACAACTAGCCCGGACTATCCACAACTAGCCCGGACTATCCACAACTAGCCCGAACATACTACGTGCTAAGGTTACCTACGGTTACACAGGGAGAGGTCATAGTTGTTTCTAGAACCTAAGGCGTCGATCCCTATACGGCAGATTTTCTAGTCGGTTCGAGTCCCACAAAATGATTATTTATTCACTCATTACATGTCAATAAAAATATTAATTTCTTCAAGCTACAACTACAAGACCCAGAGTACGTCCCTGTTTGACTCCTTCACTGGACCCAGAGTAGGTCCCTGTTTGACCCCTTTATTGGACCCAGAGTAGGTGTCCCTGTTTGACCCCTTTAGTAGACCCAGAGTACGTGCCTGTTTGACCCCTTCATTGGACCCAGAGTAGGTCCCTGTTTGACCCCTTTAGTGGACCTAGAGTAGGTCCCTAAGCGACACCCTCTATAGGTTTGGCGCTTAACAGTCAGTGCCAGTGACTCTCATAGAGTGGCACGAGGGGTGTTTTTGTGGCGTCAAACGCCAGCGACACTTCAAATGTGCTTTAGATTTGTAGGCTCTGTCATTTCATATCTCAATGTTTCTTGTGCCGCTCCCATACGGTCGGCCGTTTGGTGTAGTGGTTCGAAACGGACTACTATTCTGGAGGTTGCGGGTTCGATTCCCGCACAGTACAAACATTTGTATGCATGAACATATTTGTTTGTATTGGACTGGGTGTTTTCTATGTATAATAAGTATGTATTCTTGCGCTGCTTCTTCTCAGCACTGGCCCATTTATTGTCCCGAAGCAGTGCAGTGGTAGGGTTAATATTGGGACGTGTAAAAGTGCTTTTTAAAAGCCTATTTGCAAAAATAAATGAATTTTATAAAAAAAAAGTATTTAAGTGTGTTCATATCCGTTGTCTAGTACCCATAGTACAAGCTTTGCTTAGTTTGGGACTAGAAGCGCAGTGTAAAATGTCCAAGGATATTTATTATTTATTATTATTATACCTCAGGCACTAACTTAAGCGTTATACCTGTCCTTTAAATTTGTTTGATCGTGCAAGCGACCCCTAACTTTAAATTGTCTGGTTCCAGATACGAGTGTATGCACAGGCTGCTGCGCGACCCTCGACCATATAGTCACATATCTATTTAAGCAATTAGTACAGAAATGTAAGTATTATTATGTATTTATAATGTTTAACTAAAGACGTACTAATAATACTCGTTCCAAACATGAGCACGGCTTTGAGAAGCTATGCTCTGAAAAGCAAAAACATTATTCTCATTAGAAGGTTTTCAATCAAGTAAAATTAACAAATCTGTTAGATTTTAATTGTTATTTTTTATTTTTATTTTTGGGTGAATAGAGAAATTGTAATCGATGTTCTAGCGATCCGAATTTTGTTTGCGTTTTTTACCAATTCGAAGTTATTGTTGATCATCATTGTCATTTAATCTATCTAAGAGTATGTAAAATATCCTAGGTACATAGTTAGACGGCCGTTTGGTGTAGTGGTTCAGAACGGATTACTACGCCGAAAGGACCCGGGTTCGATTCCCGGCCGGGCAGAAATTGAAATGATGTATTTTAATTTCTTTGATGTGTCTGGGTGTTACTGTGTATAATATGTATGTATTTAGGAAAAAAAAATGTATTTAAGTATGATTATATCCGTGTTCTAGTACCCATAGTACAAGCTTTGCTTAGTTTGGGACTAGAAGCGTAGTGTAAAAATATCCAAGGTTATTTATTACATAGTTATTTTATAGATATTTTGTGTGTGTACAGCTAGCAACAAACCGCCGAATCCGCGCCAGCCGCCGCCCGAAGCGAGCAACATGCTGCAAGTGCTACAGCGGCGGCCCGAGATCATGCAGCAGCTACTAGCCACGGTAAATATAACATGCTGTATACTGTGTATACATTCACAATATACATAACTAGCGGCCGCCCGCGACTTCGTACGCGTGGATCCCGTTTTACCCCCTTTATCTATCTTACGCGGCTTAGATTTTTTCATACAAATGTTTTTTCCCGCTAACTCTCGTTCCCGTGGGAATTTTGCAAAATCCTGTTGTAAGCTTAGCTTTAAGTTTACTAAGATACCTGCATGCCTCAAGCGTCTAACTTAGATTTTTCATACAAAAGGATTTTCCCGCTATTTCCCGTTCCCGTGAGAATTTTGGGAATTCCTTTCTTAGTGCACCTCTACGGTACCTAAGCTACGTCCCTTCCAAATTTCAAGTGCCTACGTTTAGCCGTTAAGGCTGTGCGTTGAAATGTCAGTCAGTCAGTTTCTCATTTAGATATAAATCTGTTCAATGAATGAAGATTGAAGACCTCTTTTTTGTATTATCATAATGATTTTTATCAATTAATAAACGTTATCGTGCTTTTTTGTAGCGTTCCTTAGGCCAATTTTATTGAATGAAAAATTATAATTAAAGTACAGTCGACATCACATCAAGCTATACATTTTCGTTGCAAAGTCGCCTCTATCGCAACTGCGTAAGATACCACAGTGTTTACGTTGACGTGCTGTCGCTGTACATATTCAGTTATGTCTCGACCCGCTAAAATCTCCGTTAAATAGAGGTGTCTTAGGTACTAGACGCAACCAAAACATCTTTCGTTGTCATCCTGGATCCCGCGGGCCTTCAAGCCCTCCCTAATGGGTCTAAATTAGTCCCATGGGATAGGCAAGTAATATTTTAAGGTATTATAGGTAACTAGCGGCCGCCCGCGACTTCGTACGCGTGAATCCCGTTTTTCCCGCTAATTCCCGTTCCCGTGGGAATTTCGGGAATTCCTTTCTTAGTGCACCTCTACGGTACCTAAGCTACGTCCCTTCCAAATTTCAAGTGCCTACGTTTAGCCGTTTAGGCTGTGCGTTGATCTGTCAGTCAGTCAGTCAGTCAGTTTCTCCTTTTATATATTTAGATTATATCATGCATCAATATAAAGTAAGAATAGCTGCCAATTTTCTAGGACAACGGAGGAAAAAATGTTTTCTGAAAATCATAAATTACTAAATAATTGCGTGAATAAAACATACATCTTGGTAAGACCTTTCAAACGATACTAGACACATATCTATTGGAACCGGGTACCATTTTGCCCATTGTCCTTTTGACTATGTCATTTTTGGATGTCCGCTTCTCAGGCAAAATAAAAGACTGTGTAGCGGTACGGTTTTACAATGGCTTTCTCACTCCCCTCTTCCATAGCAATATAGCCCTTATTGGGGAAAGTCAACTCCGATGATGACGATTGTTGTTCTTTCAGGTGCTAAACGTGATAATGTTCGAAGACTGCTGCAACCAGTGGTCGATGTCTCGTCCGCTGCTCGGGCTCATACTCCTCAACGAGGAGCACTTCGCGCGCCTCCGCGGGGACATGCTCGCGCAGCAGCCGCGCGACAAGCAGCCGCAGCTGGCGCACTGCTTCAGCGCGCTCATGGCCGGCGTTGAACCTAACCTGCTTACTAAGAACAGAGACAGGTGAGCGAATGGACCTAGAGTAGGTCCCTGAGCGACTCCCTCAAGTAACTAAATGGATCCAGAGTAGGTCCCTGCGTGACCCCCTTAAGTACCTAAATGGACCCAGAGTAGGTCCCTGAGCGACTCCTCTAAGTAGCTTATTGGACCTAGATTAGACCCCTGTTTGACCCCCCTTAAGTAGCTAAATAGGCCCAGTGTAGGTCCCTGCGTGACCCCCTTTTGTAACTAAATGGGCCCAGAGTAAGTCTCTGCGTGACTCCTGTAAGTAACTAAATGGGCCTAGAATAGTTCCTTGATTTACCCCTTTAATGGACCCAAAATAGGTCCTTGCGCGACCCCCTTAAGTAGCTAACTGGGCCCAGAGTAACTCCCTGCGCGACCCTCTTAAGTAGCTAAATGGACCCAGAGTACATCCCTGTTTGACCCCCTTAACTAGACCCAGAGTAGGTCCCTGAGCGACTCCTCTAAGTAGCTAAATGGAGCCAGAGTACATCCCTGCGTGACCCCCTTAAGTAGCTGGAGCCAAAGGTAGGGCTCATACTCCTCAACGAGGACATGCTCGCGCAGCAGCCGCGCGACAAGCAGCCGCAGCTGGCGCACTGCTTCAGCGCGCTCATGGCCGGCGTTGAACCTAACCTGCTTACTAAGAACAGAGACAGGTGAGCGAATGGACCTAGAGTAGGTCCCTGAGCGACTCCCTCAAGTAACTAAATGGACTCAGATTAGTCCCCTGTTTGACCCCCCTTAAGTAGCTAAAAAGGCCCAGAGTAGGTCCCTGCGTGACCCCCTGAAGTAGCTTAATGGACCCAGATTAGACCCCTGATTGACCCCCTTTAAGTAGCTAAATGAACCCAGCGTAAGTCCTTGAGCGACCCTCTAAAGTAGGTAATTGGACCCAAAAAAAGTCCCTGTGTGACCCCTTAAAGTAGTCAATGAGGGCTATCGTTTTAGCGCTCACCAGTTAGCGCCACTGTAGAGTAAGGTCCTGTCACTTGCTAGTAGCGAAGACAGTGGCGCCAACTTGTGAGCGCTAAACTGGTAGGAGGACTATCGCATTTGAGTGCAAATGCGATAGTCCTCCTACCAGTTTAGCGATCAAGATGGCGCCACTGTAGAGTAAGGTCCTGTCAATCGCCAGGGGTGCCAACTGTTAAGTGAAAAAACTATAGCCCTCATTGAACCCAAAGTAGACCCCTGATTGATCCCTCTTAAGTAACTAAATGGACCCAAAGTAAGTCCCTGTGAGTGACTCTGTCAAGGGAACTACATTACTCCTCCAAGTAGCTAAACGGGCCCAAACTACACCCTTGCTTGACCTCTTTAATGGACCCCGAGTAGATCCCTGAGCGACTCCTGTATGTAGCTGAATGGACCCAGAGTAACTCCCTGCGCGACTGTTTTCGGTTTTCCGTCATTCGCCTTAAGTGGTAAGCAACTGTGGGATTCCGGCCAAAGCCTTCACTACCACAGTCTTGTGTATGTCCCTCATGCAACTATATGGTGATAAGGACTTTTAAAGACCTTGGTGGAACCAATGTTGAACTTTGTATAACGCTCTACTCTGGTAGAAATCTTGTTATACTAAATAATTTAATTGTAAATGAAAAGTTAAAAATTGTTTTTTAACAAGATCATTTTGTCCGCAGATTCACACAGAACCTGTCTATCTTCAGACGGGACATCAACGACCTGCTCAAAGGCACCTTAGTCAACACATCCAACGTCAACGACATGATGACGTCCTAATGTGAGCTTCGTCGCAAATTGAGGTGGACACACACTTGTGTACGTACGCGAACGTTGCACGCGTCTTACGAACACATTCCCGCTTATTACAAAAAGTTACATTTAGTATGGAAATGTCATTTTAAACCAGTGTTCATCCCGGGTTTAACTTTTTATAATAAGGCCCAGTATGATTATCTTTGGATACGTTCGCGAGCGATTCACGCGCGGGTTATAACATTCAAATGAATGTTTCGCGTGCCATCTTAACATTTTCGCAGATAGTGAACACTTACAAAATGAAAAAAATCTTTATTTATCTATGCTAATGTTATATAGAAAAGAAGAAGTTATAAGATTTTGATTGTTTTATTTGTATTGAATATTCTCTGAAGCTACCAAAACTACTGGACAGATTAAAAAAAAATTGCACCATTAGAATCGTACCTACATTAATTTTAGAGTGTAATAATTGAACTAATTTTTACAAACTGACAAATCTTAAAGAATATTTTACTTGTCTCATGATTTTTGCCCTACGTTAATACTATAGTAATAAAACTTCTATTGACTTCAAACTGTCCACGAATGTGTTAAGATATATCCCTGTTTTAAGCTCATTTTTAGTGGTTTGTGATATGCAATGTGTTCGTTGTACCGCTTGAGTGTAGGTCCACCCTTAACATAGTGTCAACAAGTCGCCATTTCATATAGCGGGTGTCACTACATTCGGCAAGTTAAGTTTAAATGGTAACAAACTGTTATAGAATGACAGGTGACGTATGTTTTACAGCATTTTCTTCAGACTGTGGTATTATTGACAGCTGTCATCTAAGATTTGACGTTTGTGGAGATTTTTTTTAATGTTTGTATCGTGAAATGGGAATGAAATCGCCGTTTTATTTTATGTCACTGTTATGTTAACAATATAGGGCAGATTTATTGACTCAATTGAATGTCATATCCTAAAAGTTTTTATAAGTAATAATATAAAGTGCCTATTTCATTTGATGCGGATTTCTGCGCGTGTAAAATCTCACAGCTCTCACAGCAGTTGCACGCAGTACAAAGATTTCGTATTGTGTACCCGCAGCCGATCCGCGTTCCGCGTGCGTGTAGCCGCTTAAGGCGATTATCACACTGCACCGCGCTCCGCCGCGGTACGCGGGACGACAGATTTAATCATTATATGCAAGTACCTCAGTTTGTATAGAAAACACGCGCGGCACAACACACTAACAACGCGTCTGCGCGCGGGATTTTTTATATGAAATCACGCGGACCGCGGCGGAGCGCGGTGCAGTGTGATAATCGTCTAATAGGAAAAACATGTATGAAATAATGAAATGCGGACCATCCGCGTGCGTGCGGAAATCCGCATCGCAGGAAAAATGCACTAACAGTGTATATCCGCTTCAGAGGGCCTAGTGTGAGTTTACATCAAACGTCATCATTAGTGAGTGCGTCAAAAAATGACATTAAATGTATGACGGGTTGGACAGCGCCCCTAGCGGGAAACGTTCAAAAACTAAAATTTTCACACATTTTTTTGTTGACACATTAATTTTTCGATGTAAACTCACACACAGCCCACAGTTGTATAATATCCTTATAATAACAGAAATAATACGGTAAAGAGGTGTATAAATTGTAATTATAAACGAGAGCAGAGTATTGTAGAATAACCAGCAAATTAAACTGGGTGTAGTCATGCAATAGCTGGAACTAATGTGCGTTCCCGGTGATGTCGTCGCATTCGATGCTTACTGGATTACTTTTTAGCTGTACAAATGCTATAGCATATAATTTATTTATAACTGACATATTATGAATTTGATGGGCCCTTTATCTATCGAAAAAGAAATGAAAATATTATGGCAACTAAATTTGACTTTATGTCTTTTTTTGACTGAATGTAAAAAACCTGTTTATTTTGCATGTGAAGAGAAAAGCCTATTACTGCATGTATTTTATGAACAGAAAAACAAACTATAGTGTTAAAAATTATTTTTATTCTTATTATAATAAGATGTTTGCTTTGTATAAGATAATTTTGCATTTGTATGTCTGAAAAGATCCAGTATTGTTAGATAATGATCAATTTAATGTATCGAATGGTACGCAGTTTTAGTAACAATTTAGCAGTAGTAAGACGTGAATTTAGAAGTCTGGCCAGCGTGAAGATTTTAGTCCAAATCCTCCTAAAATCGGAGACTAAAATTTCCTGATGATGGTAATAATAATGATGGAGTAGACTTAGAATGTATATTTTTGTCAGTATTCGCTTTGGATGACTCAGATGTCGAAATAATTAATGAAGTTCCTTTTTAGTTCCTGTATATTTATTTAATCGGGTCGAATGCGGTGACAGCAAAGGGAATTCGTTATTTTTAAGTTACGACAATCACAATTTTTTGTATCGTTTTCTAACGTTCATTTTTCATACAGACTGACATTCCAGAGTGAGGCTGTGGTCTCCTATTTACGCAGTAGGCAATACAATGCTTACTATAGAAATGTATAGTCCGCGAGACCTAAGCTGAGCTTTGCATTTGTGTGCACGTGGGTAGTGTAGGTGTGACAGTTTATACATATTACCGACTAGCTTTCCGCCCGCGTGGAATTTTGCCTGTCACAGAAAAACTGTCCCTGTTTCAAATACCGGGATAAACACTTATCCTATGTCCTTTCCCATGACTCAAACTATCTCTATGTCAAATTTCATCAAAATCGGTTCAGTGGTTTAGGCGTGAAATTGAGACAGACAGTTACTTTCGCATTTATAATATTTATATTTTTGGCAATCGGTCTGAGGCGCAAGTCCGCCGAGGATTTTCTTCACTTCATCTCTTGTACTGGTAGCAGCGTGACGTGTTTAATTCTTAGTATAGTGCCACGATTCTGAAACCTCAACTGGCAAAAATTAAAAACGGTATAAGGTATTTATTGATGTAGCGCCCTCCTGTAAATGTCGGAGTTATATGATTGTCCAACGTGACTAAAATAGAAATTAATAATCCAGTATTGATAGTAGCGCCCTCCCTGGGACGCACGGTTCAATGTTGCTTAATAATATCTATATTTTGTTTTTAAGCTTTTTTTGATTTTTTTAAGTTTTTGGCTGACTACTTTTGGTATCACTCACACAAATGCAAAGCTCAGTTTACGCCTGTTGTGGTCTCCTTCAGACGTTGACGTCAACTTATGAGCACCATAAACGTCATTAGGAACGTTTGAAGCTGACGTCATATGCCTTCTAGCGTATAGGAGACCATAGCCTGACGTCATTGCTACGGATGGCGCGTGTATTGTGGGATGTGTGAATACTTGCAACTGAATGGGCACAAACTGTGCTGTCTTGTGTTGAACTGTGCTGTGGGAACTGATGTACTTTTGTTGCCTTAAGATTAACAAGAAGTGTACAGTTGAGAGCACGTTTTTTGCTGCAAAATGGCCTGTATTGTATAGATCCATCCACCATTCTTTCGCTAATGTTTGAGTGTTATCGGCACACGCTAAATTATCCATGAGTGCACACGCACACTACAATAATGCTGCTTTTTCAAAGTTCAAAAGAAGAGGCCCGTGACGTCAATTAGTGCTTAAAAGTGCAGCAGTTTGTGGCGTCGCGCGGAACTTCAATTCATTTTTGATTGAAAATTAAAAATATACGTATCCAATATTTTTTGATATTAAAATAGACGGACTAAAAAAATTTTATTATAGTGGCATGCTGTCTTATATTAGGATCAATTTTTAAAGGTGTATTCACACGTATACGGGGCGTATGAGGGCCTCTCAAATTTACTCCCCGCGAACGGACCGTAGCAATGTGAATAAATCAACAATGTTCCATTGGTTCCCACACTGCAGTAGTTTTGATGTATTTCTAAGCTGTTTTAAGTGTCGAATTACTTTACAAAAATATGAAATAAACTGTTGTTATATTATTACTATATTGGACGATATTTTTACGTCGAATAAAAATGATTATATTATGTGACATGTTTTGAAACACCTTACTGGTATGCTATAAAATATAACAGGTATTGTTAAAGTTTTTTTTTCTTATCTATTTCATTCGTTCTTCGTTATTTTTCTAGTTGAACCATTCGTAGATGGTCGAAAATGTGTATGGGTATTTTTATAATTTATAAGCCGTACGCCCATATATTCACAAATATTACTATGAGGTTTCACAGTGTGCGTGTACGCACCAGGGTCACACGAACCAATCACGGAGCTCTATTCAACGCTGTGCGTTCGATTTGTTTCACTTAAGCAAGCATCGTTTGTGAATACGGGCTTTAAACTCGTTTTGCTGACTGTGGGGCAAGTGCCAAGGGTTACTACGCAACTACACTGGACAGCATTAAATTCAAACTTTTGATTGGTAGAATTTCAATATTTATATAGGGTGTTAGGTAAATGGGTATATGAGCCGACACTAGCCCATGTTAACATGGTCATATAAATGGTATGGTGAAGTCAGAAAATTGATATCTTCATTTTAATTATTTTAATTTTCATACAAATCGGATTTTACAAAATTTATTTTGTATGAAAATTAAAAAAATTAAAATGATGATATCAAAAATTTCTGACTTCACCATACCATTTATATGACCAAGTTATCATGGTCTAGTGTTGGCTCATATACCCATTTACCTAACACCCTGTATATTATTAAAATTTTGTATTAAAATATTATTAAAAGCACTATTTCCTACAGAATAACTGATAATATATTAAAATCTTTGTTCGACGTAGAACTAGAAGCCGTTTTTATTCTGTATACGTTGACAATTTAGTATTTTTCATTAAAAGAGAAGCATGCGCGCGAATATACGTTTTGAATAAGGAAAAAATATTGAGCAACTTTGCCAGTCCCTGATAACTATTAGGAACTTATTTGTCAGATAAACTACAACTGTCTTTTTGTTTTTAAAAATATTCGGTAGATACATAACTGCTACCTAATACAGCTTATAATGGGGGGGACAATGGAACTTATTTTGTTTCAATCTCCACCCCAGAGGATTCCCTCAGCAACTCAGGATTCGAATGGTCGGTAACAAGTTGTGGACTGGATTTCCATTCGATGCAATGATGAAATTAATCGATAATTTATAAGTTTTGTTCACTACTTTGACGTCCTTCAGGAGTATAAAACCAAGGGACCCAGCTACACTGGGCCGTAGTATCACAAAATTAGGATACCTAAAAGAACAAAAGATCTATTTACTATGACAAAATGCTATTGCACTCTAAAATCTAGTACATCTAGATGGCAAAATTAAATGAATTAATATGTACTAATAACTTTCATTATCTTAAAAAGAAGCCTCCTTTCTTACGCCGGGTCTCCAGCGCGTGTTTTGCCTTACACAATCAACGTCAACATTCAGCAAAAATGTCTACGAAAAACATTGTTTCACTACACATTTTTGTTTGCATCAATAATGTTTTTGCTTTCCATGCCCGGTGGAAAACACGTATACACGGCCAGAGCGTTATCTATCCATTTCCGTTTTTGCTGTCGCTCTCATCAAATGGTGATTCTTTTGAGATAGAACGAGACGACATGACCGGCAATGGGCAGTTAACACTGTTGCCGATAGTACGCAGTGAAACAAAGTTTTGTGTAGACCATTTTGTTGAATGTTGACATGTTTTTGTTGATTGTGTAGGGCAAAACCACGCTGGAGACTCTGCTTTACATAGATGTTTTATTTGCAGCACCCAACAGGGTCCATAGGCCCGTATCTTACTGTGAAGCTTCAACCAAACCAGGGTCTCCAAACTTTGAAGCCTTGGGGCCATAATATTTTTTTGGTATGCATGTTGCATAACATTTTTAATTTTTCTGCCCACCTATGCAAACATAGGCTTAGTCTTAAGCTGTCGCGGGCCGAATTGAGGGCAGTAGCGGGCCGGATATGGCCCGCGGGCCGTAGTTTGGAGACCCCTGAACCAAACCAACGCGTGCAGCTGGCGTGCACGATGGCGAAAGGATCAGGCGATGCCGCGGTGTAGTGTGAGTTTACATCAGTAAAAAAGTGACATTAAATGTATGACGGATTGTACAGCGCCCCTGGCGGAAACTTTCAAGAGCTAAACTCTTCATTATGTTTTTTAAACGCAGTCGATTTCGAATGTGTTTGATGTAATTTTGATAACGTATTGTACAGCGCCCCTAGCGGAAAGGATCAAGAACTAAAATTTTCATACATTTTTTTAACGCGCTCACTTTTGAGGACGTTTGATGTAAACTCACACTACGCCCCCAGATCGTGTATGAATTTGTAGCGATGAGTTCACATCAACGCGTCCTGTCATTGGTCACGCGTCCTGTCATTAACCAGATCGCCGTCGCCGACGTGATCTGCACGCGTTGGTTTGTCCGAAGCTTTAACATCAACCTATGTACTGCTGGAATCAATAAATAGTATTCCCGTGCTCGTCAGAATTAGATTTGTTATATTATTCTATAGTAACGTAGCCGTACCGTCGCGTCGCAGTTGCGCGTTTGTATATAGATAAATAAATTGTGATTTGTACAAAGCGGACGTGTTGTTTTATTTCTAACGCCTTTTGTCAGTGTTAATTTTATCAAAATCGGTCTAGTATTTTTAGCAACATTCATATTTTTATTTAATTGCATTTAGCTTTCGCGTTCAAGCATCGTGCATGCATTGTCAGATTCCATCAATACAAGTCAGAGTAAATATTTTCTTTGATACAATATAGGAGACGGACAAAGCTGTCCATAGTGTCCATCAGTGTTGGCAAAAAGTTAATCTGATTAATGATTAAAAATTAATGATTAAAATCATAATCAAAATGTTTTGATTATGATTAATTAATCATTAATCAAAATTTTTGATTAAGATTAATTAATCATAATCATTAATCGTTAATTTGATTATTTGATTAACTATCTACTATTTTCATAAGAAAAGGGATGGGGGTGTATGAAAAGGTACCTGCGACTTATAAAATGTCTAGCAAAGGGGGGATCTGGAGTTGTACTGTAGTTTTCACTACTCAAAACACTTATCGCACTAGTTTTGTTTCTCACAATTCCTTCTATTCTTCCGCTATCCACCAGCGAAATTGGGTCAAGAAAGAAGTTAAGCGGGCTGGCTGACGATAGGGGAGAAGTCCCCCCCCCCCCCCTCCCAAGGTAGGGGCAAGCGTGGGCAATTCAACAGAAAGGTGGGGTTGCTAACTAAGAGGTTTTGCGTGTTGGGGAGGTGCTGGAGAGTTCGTACCAGAAGTTCGGGGGGAGGGCCACGCGTGGGCAATTCAATAGAAGGATGGGGTTGCTAAGCTAGGAGGTTTTGCGTGTTGGGGAGGTGCTGGAGAGTTCGTACCAGAAGTTCGGGGGGAGGGCCACGCGTGGGCAATTCAATAGAAGGGTGGGGTTGCTAAGCTAGGAGGTTTTGCGTGTTGGGGAGGTGCAGGAGAGTTCGTACCAGAAGTTCGGGGGGAGGCCCACTCGTGGGCAATTCAATAGAATGGTGGGGTTGCTAAGCTAGGAGGTTTTGCGTGTTGGGGAGGTGCAGGAAACTTCGTACCAGAAGTTTCGGGGGAAGGGCCACGCGTGGGCAATTCAATAGAAGGGTGGGGTTGCTAAACTAGGAGGTTTTGCGTGTTGGGGAGGTGCAGGAGACTTCGTACCAGAAGTTTCAGGGGAGGCTAGGGGTGGGGGGCAGGTGGTGAGAGTGTGGGGTTGCAAGTAAGTGCTGGAACGGTAGGGGAAGTGGACTGATATCCTCCTACGGGAGGTCGGAAGACTGCACCGGAAGTTTCAGCGAGGGAAGGGGGCGGGGGACAGTCTAGGTTACTTTATATTTGTCTAGGTATGACCTGTCATAGAATTGTAGCCTAAAACCAAACATCTAATATTAGAATTCAATGTTTTAACATTGTTTTCGATAGAACATTTAAGAAGTTAATCAAGTTAATCAAATTAATGATTATTGATTAATGATTAACAAATTAATCATGATTATGATTACTTTTTTAATCATGATTATTTTAATCAGGATTAATTTAATCATGATTAAAATTAATCAAATTAATTAATTGAATAAAAAATTAATTGATTAGTGCCAACACTGGTGTCCATACATGATGCGGGCAGCGTTCACTTTGACCGCAGACCGCAGAACATCAGTGTAGCAAATCCTTCATATAAAAAAGTAAAACTAGGTAGCTAGGTCCAGCGGGGCAGTGGGAGAGGTGTGTTTTTTGTTTTCCTGTCAAAATATACAGAGTATTTGAACCTCTTGGTGCTTAAGAGGGAGGACCCTACTCCGTTGTCTACTGTGTAGTGTTAAAAGCATTCTCCACCAATCGACCTTTGGTCATGCAGATGAGATATAACCTAGGTAAGTAGATAGTGAATAGAGTCTCCCTTTCCTCATTAGGTACTTCAAATAAAACGTCCAAGTGAAGCACCATCTCGTTTATTGCGCCACGTTCACACGCTCTTGGCGAGCTCCTGCGCCTTCGCCACCACGTCCTCGATGGTGCCCACCATGTAGAACGCCGCCTCTGCCACGTGCTGCTAAGATTTTGGTAGGTTTTCGAGAAGTAAGTTTATCTAGAGGAAAGTTTTCGAAAGTAAGTAGCTTTTAGGCCGAGTTGCACCACCTTAACTTTGACGTTATCCGGTGCTTTGTATAGATTTTGACAGATTTTTGACGTTTGTCAAAGTTAAAGTAAGATGGTGCAACCCAGCCTTAGCTTTCGTAAACGATAAACTTTTGAAAAGTAAAAAAATAAAAGGTTTTTTGAATGGTTTACGAAGTAAAGTTTCGAAAATATGTATTTTGTTTGTTTGGTTTTTCGAGAAAGTTAGGTTTTCGATGCTATAGTTTTCCGAAAGTTAGGTTTGAAAATATTAGATTGTCCAAAGTTTTCTCCTATCTGTGAATACCTACATCCTACCTAACCTACGCCCTCAACTAAAATAAGTAAAGCCGGGTCCGTGAGCACGTAGAATTTTGTCCAATGACCCCTAGCTACCCATCCTTATCGCTCGCAGGTAATTATGTTGCGGGCGCGCGTCGCACAGTCGCGACAGCAAAATAATTACGCGCGAGTGACGTGGCTTTAGTTCAAATAAAACGCTAGTAAGTAAAGCACCATCTTTATTGCGCCATGTTCACACGCTCTTGGCGAGCTCCTGCGCCTTCGCCACCACGTCCTCGATGGTGCCCACCATGTAGAACGCACATAAAAAATAAATTAAGGTAGGTTTTTTGAATGGTTTACGAAGTAAGTTTCGAAAATATGTATTTTGTTTATGTTTGGTTTTTCGAGAAAGTTAGGTTTTCGATGATAAAGTTTTCCGAAAGTTAGGTTTGAAAATATTAGATTGTCCAAAGTTTTCCTATCTGTGAATACCTACATCCTACCTACGCCCTCAACTAAATAAATAAAATCAATAATAAGTATAATATAGTCTGGTCCGCGAGCACGTAGAATTTTGTTGCTATCGCGCTCGCACACTCACTGCGGGTGCCAGTCGCACAGTCGCGACAGCAATATAATTACGCGCGAGCGATAAGGATGGGTAGCTAGGGGTCATTGGACAAAATTCTACGTGCTCACGGACCGGGCTTTAGTTCAAATAAAACGCTCAAGTAAAGCACCATCTTTATTGCGCCATGTTCACACGCTCTTGGCGAGCTCCTGCGCCTTCGCCACCACGTCCTCGATGGTGCCCACCATGTAGAACGCCGCCTCTGGGATGTGGTCCAGCTCTCCCCCCAGGATCTGGAACAGAAAGTACAAATATAACTATCATACTAACATTTAATGTTCTGTTACTAGCTTTTGCCCGCGGTCTTATATTTTCACCCGCGTGAAATTTAGTTTGTCACAGATCGTCATAAATTATCTATAGCCTATATGTTATTCTGGGTTATAAACAATAATACTGTAAAGTTTCATCAAAATCCTTTCAGTAGTTTTTGCGTGAAAGAGTAACAAACATCCCACAAACTTTCGCATTTATAATATTAGTAGGATTAGGGGCAGAGATAACAACAACAAATTAAAAACTATGAAAATCGGTCCAGCCGTTCTCGAATACCTCACAAGTGTTCGAACAAACTGGACTTTTTATACCAAGATCGTGGTTTCGTTCAACTTCATTCAATTTCAACGAAAGTTTTTGTTTTCGAGAAAGTACTTAGGTACCTAGTTTCTCGAAAGTTAGGCTTTTTACACGTTTTCTCATTAAAAGGTTGACGGTAGGAAACTGATATTTATCAATAAACTTAAATCTGTCAAAAAAGAAAAAATAACAGCTCACCCTCTTAAATCCTTTGATGGTTTCCTCCAATTTCACCAGTTTGCCAATGTGACCGGTGAATACTTCTGCAACCTGAAATAAAAGAATGATTTATTATAACAATCTAAATTACCCAACTTATTGATAACCTGACTATTCGAACTCCTTACTTCGTCTTTCTACGTAAGCGATAGCGCACATTGAGCGACAAAACGCTGCAACAGACGCGGCCACATAACGCAAACCTCATGCTCAAAAAATTTGCTGTCGATGCGACCAAAATGCGACTCTGCGACATTTCTCGACGACAAACTTTGTAAACCTAACATCGAAAATCCAACAAAAACCTGTTAACTATTCGAAAGCCCCACTTCATAATCCAAACTTTTCGAAAACCCAACTGTGTAAACTAACTTCGCAAACCCAATTAAGTATTCGAACTCTATAAATCTGTACCCCCAGTGAAAAGGGAGTTAAGTCGAAAATGGTGATTTTTGGGAAATCGCATTTGAAGTTAAAAAAAATCCTGCTTCATCGCTATTAGAGATAACTTGGTGAAATAATTTTTAGGTGAAAGGTAATGTTAGATATAATTAGGCAGTGTGCCAGTTTCGGAAATATAGCATGTGGTTTTTTCATAATTAAATAAAAACACAGTTATATCACCATGCACGACAACTTTACATTCGTGTAAAGTGATGTAATGGGACATAAATCATTTTACACCACACTGAATTCACCACACGCTATCAAGTGTAAAGTGATACATTTTCCGCCATTTCTGTTGATAATTTTTTGTCTCTTTAATTTTAGAAAAAGTTGTAAAACAAACATAAGTAATTACACTATGAGGAATCATTATTTCAGGTTATTTAGGGTAAATCGTCCAAAAATTGTTACTTATATCAATATACACCAATTTTTTGGTGAGAAAAATAATGTGTAAACTGATCTAACTAACATAACAGCGATCTAAGTATCCAAATAATTATGTGTAAAGTGATATAAGTGGCGATTGTATAGGAATAAGGCTAGAATTTGAGACTGAATTCTAATTATTTACTCCTTAAATGTTTATTCTGATCTGAAACTACTATTTTATTAATTATTACACCATATACCATGAATGATATCGGCCTAAATCACAAACATTATCTCCTATTTTAAAGAAAGTATAGCTGAAGCAATTGTGTAGTAAAGACCAGAAATAACAATGGTTTCACATCAACTAATTAGACAGGAGACAGAGAAAAGTTTGTTTTCTACAATTAACCTATTAGGAATCAAACCCTGGCCCAGAGATAGTGATGTCAAGCAATATTGATTGCCTTTTGGCTACAGAAGGATAATATAAAAGTAAAGTCATAAAATGCATTTGTTTTTAACAAAGAGGCTTTTAAAAAGCCCTTTAACACGTCCTAGTATTACTTGAACCCTACTTTTATTTTGGGACATAAATGGGCCAGTGCTGAGAAGAAGCAGCGCAAGAAATTTAGCCACCCTTGTCAGCCTCTTCTTAAATCATAAATAACTTGAAAAAATCGAACTGCCTAAGGCGGGAATCTTCTTAAATCAATAATGACATGAATTAACAAGACATGTTATACTTGCGAGCTAAGCAGATAAAGTCCAGCCACACATGCCATTTACATAATTATTTACTTTATACATAGTATCCATTCATAAGGCCTTTCGTAGTTAGTTTTGCAGGACAATCGAATATTGCACTTAGCCTTTTGATTAGACCATTGTGCGCTATTTGTAGTTTATCTTCCTATTCCAACCACTCCAGATCCCCCAGGTAGCAGCAGCCTATCTAAGTCGCTACAGGCCTTCTGCAGCGACCCTGGTGATTGGAGAATTTGAGCCTGTTGATCTGCTACGCTTGTGTACTCCTTGTGCGCGTGCTGCGGTTTTTCTTCTGCCTCCATGCATCTTCTGCACAGTAGGCTGTCTGTAACAGCTATATTGTGTAGGTGTTTGTTTAACATACCTGTTATTACACTTAGGACCTTGCGGATGTTGTCCCTGTTTAGTGTTATGAGGCTGCGGGAGAATTTTTGAGAAATTGAAAAATTGAGAAAGAAGCGATATAATATATGCACAACTGCATCTTTTGTTTGCCTGCATCTTTCACAATCTTTCCATTCTGTGTGGTGTTATTTTTCTATTTTGGAGCGCAGCCAGGTCTTGATCTGTGCTTATGGTATCGGCATTATTATTGTTCCGGACCAAATACCGTCGTGTACGATCCCCTTCTGGCCAGTTCATCTGCTGCGTCGTTGCTCAAGGAGTTACTGTGCCCTTTGATCCACAGGAGTGCAGGGTAACGCCATTTGCGTCTGCAATGACTTAGGAGCGCGTCATGGCATTCCAATATAAGTATTATAATGTAGTATATTAAGTTGCTTTGTATTGCTTGCAATATCTGATATTATTTTTATATTCAGACCTCGGATGTCTATGGTTGCAACCGCCTGTGCTGCTCTGATTGCAATCTGCTTGGAAAATTGTATTGTGTTTATCAAGTGTTGTTGATATTCTTAGTATATTTAGGTAATTCGAGAAGACACCAGCTCCCGTACCTTTTTGGGTTTTGGAGCCGTCAGTGTAATATCCTAACTTCATTGATTCCAGAGCAATCTTGCGTTTCCGCTGTAAGCTGGATATTATATCTTCAGTCGAAGAGTGAACACAGGGAATTCTGCCGATAGGTGCCTCGGTGAGAGGTATTTCTTTTATTAGGGTTTTGTGCAGGATCGTGGAATGTCCTGTCTCCTTGTTTTGCTTCTATATGCCGTTCTTACCTTTAAGTCTTAGAGCGGCTGCTTGCGCTTCCTCCTGAATGATGAGGTCTAAAGATCTGAGATTCAGAAGGTACTCAAGTGATGTCGATGGAGTGGTTCTCATACAACTAGTGGCCGCTATGCTTACTAGGCGTTGCAGGCTTTGGAGTTTTGATCTTGCTGTTGATAGTTGTGTTCTGTGCCACCACACAAGTGATCTATAATATTTTGTGTAAGAGGGCCATATAACCGACGTGTAGAGCCAGTGTTATCTTTGGGTTGAGACCTCATCTACTACCAATGAGTCTCTTGCACTGATGGAATGCTATACAGGCCATTTTTATTTTGTTCTCGACATGACTCGCCCAGTTCAATTTATTGTCTAAGGTGATGAGTTTTGTTTATAAAGAGTTCTGGTAGTTGGAGCTCTTGTAAATTCTATAATGCACTTATTAAGTACTTTTATTGACAACGTTAGGCACTATGAATTCAATTATATGTTTTACTAGTAAATATTTACCATTATTTATTAAAACTATTAACTAAAATTCTTTGATTTCAAAACTACGACATTATTTTTTCCTTTAGTCTGACGTTTGGGCTAAGTTATATCATTTTACACCGTTAATTAACCACATTATTAGTTGCGATTTTCAAATGTTTTTGATCTAAGTAACTTATAACATTTTACACATGTACGAAACTTTTGTGGTTAATGGTATTAGTCTAATTGAATCATTATACACAAAATAAATAATCTTTTGTCTTTTACTTTTTGTGCTATAAATTAAGTTACATTCTTTTTCACCAACCAACAATACATAGTTTTTTTTGTGTATATTAATATGAGTCATCTTATATTGTTAATCACAAACTCAATCTGAACAACTTCAATCGTGTAAAAAGTAGTAACACGAGTCATACCTCTTGACACAATAAAAAAGTGAAAGAAGCCTCCGGTACACTTTGTTAAAAGTAGACATGTATCAATATACACGAAAGAAAACTCAAAATTGGTTCACAAAGCCTTACTTGTACCATTTGGCACAAAATTATTTTCTTTTCTATACGTCGTAGAAACATACCGATTAGATACAAAAATAGCTAATTTTTCAGAGATTCACATTATGTTATAAAGTCAATTTTGATCTAAGTCGAGTTAGATCCCTTTTCACTGGGGGTACAGAAATTTTTTCGATACCTGGAAAGGCTGCGACAGAAACCGTTGGATCTTCCGTGCGCGCGCGACGGTCAGCTTGTCGTCTTCAGACAGCTCGTCCATGCCCAGGATGGCGATGATGTCCTGCAGCGACTTGTAGTCCTGTGGGGAATTAGGATCAGTGTAGTTTCAAGTGCTAATTGACTAACGCCCGTATTCACAAACATTACTATGAAGTCTCACAGTGTGTGTGGACGCACAGGGTGCCACACGAACCAATCATAGGGCTTTATTCAACGCTGTGCGTTCGATTTACTGCTTCACTTAAGCAAGCATCTTTCGTGAATACGGGCGTAAGGGCTTTTTCAAATAAGACCTTATGAGGCTATAATACATATAAAGAATAACACTAAGTACATTGGAAGGAAGGGTTAAAAAAAACTATCATCATAAGTTAATAAGGCATGCAAACACGATTAAAGTCATGCTCAAAACGTCAACTTGAAAGGAGCATTAAAAGAAAGGCCTATTACAAAATATCGAATTGCCTTCCTAAGGTGGGAATTATACCACAAAATAGGTAAGTACTCACTTTGTTGCAAGAACAAGAAAAGTTGCGGGAAGCTACTGGATGCGGGAAGTGCATAACTGGTTTTTGTGGAAAGTTTCAATGACATGAGTACTTACAGCTTGACGTTTTGCCTGTTGCTACAGCCATGGTTACAAGCAGACTGGTTTGACATCCGTTCAGGCAAGCTTCACGATCTTCTAATATTTCTAATGCCCGTTTTCACCATCAATCCCTAATTTTTAAGTGACCCCTATGGTAACAAATAAAATGAATTTTCTTGTTATAGGAGTCACTTAAAAGGATTGATGGTGAAAACGGGCATTAGTCTCGTTTCTCCCAGTTAAAAATCAGCGTGCCATTTACCTGCAGAATCTTCTGCACCCCTCTTGCCATCCCGTAATGCTCATGCCCAATGATGTTGGGGTCCATGACTTGCGACGTAGAGTCCAGCGGGTCCACAGCTGGATACACGCCCAGTTCTGCAATGGCTCGGGACAGCACCGTGGTCGTGACCCCTTGAAGGGGTCTGTAGAGCGAGGCTGCGGCCGTTGCGTGGGGGCAGACATGCGAGCGATTCACTGACTCGTATGCTGCCCCACTAAGCGCCACCAGAGGGACCCGACTGGTTTTTAGTGGGTAGACCTTGCCCTTCAGGCGAAGAGAGCCCCACTTAACTCATTGGCTCCCCCGGGCTGGTGAGTATGCAGTTTCATGCATTTTCCAGTCGAAAAAAAAAAGCACCGTGGTCGTGAAGTGAGAAGTTCAATTCTGGCCAGCGTGTGGAGTGTAGTGCAAGCTCTCAAATCGTCATCTCAGCCACAGGACGTCCACTTCCGAACATAGCCAAATGCCTCTGGTAAATTAGGAGAGATTCGTGCTCCTATAGTGGAGACTTATTTAGTCCCTGATACCTGATGATGAGATGGGTACTTACAGCTTGACGTTTCGGCTGTTTTGCTACAGCCATGGTCACAAGCAGACTCTGGTTTGAAATCCGTTCAGGCGGCCTTGACTATCTTCATTTATTCTCTAGTCTCATTCCTCCCAGTTAAAATCAGCGTGCCATTTACCTGCAGAATCTTCTGCACTCCTCTCGCCACCCCGTAATGCTCATGCCCAATGATGTTGGGGTCCATGACTCGTGACGTGGAGTCCAGCGGGTCCACAGCTGGGTATACGCCCAGTTCTGCAATGGCTCGGGACAGCACCGTGGTGGCGTCCAAGTGAGCAAAGGTGGTGGCTGGTGCTGGGTCTGTTAGGTCGTCAGCTGGTACGTACACTGCCTGTGATACGGCAAAATGTTGTTTTTAGTTTAATTACTGTTTAATAATACTGCATTTTTTATGAATATTGTTAATATCATATTAAAATAATATTTATATCAACGACGAAGGTCAACCTTTATATTATGTTAAAAAAATGAGAATTATATTTGATACCAATTAAAAATGTATATTTTTTAATAATCACGAAAACAAAACAAATAGTGGGGGACAACGGAACTTTTTTGGTTTCGATGTCCACCACTGAGGGACAGAGCAACTCATTTCTTCTCAGTGTCGTCCACCAGTAGGGCCCAACGGGAAGATTTCAGTAGCGCTGTCCCCCACTGGTGGACATTGCAACTTTTTTTCTCGATGTCCACCAGTGGTGGACAAATAGTGGGGGACATCGGGAATAAACGCAAAATACAACATTAAGTATTTCGTGTTACAAAAGAAACGTTACAGCCGAAAAAGTGCGCTACTTTGAATTACTGGAGTAAGTAGCTTGTGTAGTTGTGGCGTGTGGTTCTGGCACTTTCAGATAAGTAGAAAATAGAGCCACCCTCACTCCTCCTCCTCACTTCTTCCCGTGGATGTCATGAAATACAATTAGAGACAAATATACGAACTCCAGGTTGCCCCAATTAAACTTGGCGGCGCACTGTACTGTAGCAGACGAGGTGAAGAAAATCGGCAAGACTTGGAGCAAGATCAAACGCGAAGCTCAAGATCGAACGCGATGGAGGACTATTGTGGATGTCCTCTGCCCCATCTAGGGGACATTTGACATTTAAATCAAGTAAGTCAAAGTTGCCCCAACCCGTCTGGCCGTGTGAGTAGTAAGTCTACATCATCCATTTGCCTCTGGTAAATTTTAGAGGGTCGTGCTACTGCAAACGAGACTATGACACGATGATGATGAAGGAACTCACCTGCACACTGGTGATGGAGCCGGTCTTGGTGGTGGTGATCCGCTCCTGCATGGTGCCCATGTCGGTAGCCAGAGTCGGCTGGTAGCCCACGGCCGACGGGATGCGGCCCAGCAACGCCGACACCTGAAGAACATCAGGTTATTTCAACTTTTTTCCACAATTTGGTTGTTTTTTCCACTTTTCTGTTGACTGGGGTAAAATGTGTAGGTACCTCACTTGGCGCGGTATCTCCCATATTATCACCAATAGAAGTCTCGTCTTTTCTAATAAACATCAATCAAACAAGTTTTTCATTACAAATCCGATAAAATAAAGCGTTTTATAGAATGGCGGCGGCAAGGGTTTATTTAGCAGCAGCTGCTCCTATGACCTTAGAATCTTGGGCCCAGAATGTGCAATGGGAAAGTGAGGTCTGTTGTCACCACATTTAGTCATAATCTTACTACTGTCTACTGCTACAGTCTGTCTTATAGCGATTGTCTTCCACGGGCAAACAGCTATCGACCATGCGTTATCCTACTGGTTAGTTCTAGGTATTGATAGAATCCGTCGGGACAGAACTGAGCTTTAGAACTAAACACACGCAATCGTACCACCCCTTCGTGTGGGAAAACTACAGAATCACCTCCAACGTACCTCCGAACCAGCTTGAGTGAAACGGAAGATGTTGTCCACAAACAGCAGCACGTCCTGTCCCTCTTTGTCCCGGAAATGCTCGGCGAGCGTTAGACCAGTTAGAGCGACACGTGCGCGAGCGCCGGGCGGCTCGTTCATTTGCCCGTACACTAGCGCCACCTGGGAAAGAAGAAAGGACAATGGAGATCAGCTCTACAAAGCTCTTAGGCGATTATCACACTGCACCGCGCTCCGCCGCGGTCCGCGTGGCGACATATAACGAATCCCGCGCGCAAACGCGTTGTCAGTGTGTTGTGCCGCGCGTGTTTTCTATACAAACTGAGGTACTTGCATATAATGATTAAATCTGTCGTCCCGCGTACCGCGGCGGAGCGCGGTTGGCGCGGTGCAGTGTGATAAGCGCCTTAGACAAGACAGTGGCAGAACGTGACAATTGTAATTTAGAAATCTCTTCGCTACGGCGTTTTTAAGTAGTTAATTACTTCGCTCCGTGAAGGGGGCTCGTTTGGCTGGCCTTCGGGGCTGGCCTTTGGGGCTCGTTTAGGGGGCGAGTGGTGTCCATCCCAGAATGTCGGGCTACCGATTTGAAGATGATAGTTGTAGTACAATTACTCATGAGCTATGGCCTATGACACCATCGGACAAGACATGTCAAAGTTCAGGACTCCCTGAAAAATAATCCTAGGTAAGTACACCAATGGGTGTGCTGTTGTTTATTCAAACCTTGGAGGTCTTGTAGTCGTCAGTGATGACTCCGCCGACCTTCATCTCGTTGTAAAGATCATTGCCCTCGCGCGTGCGCTCGCCCACTCCTGCGAATACCTGCAAATTCATAATTTTATGACTACCCACATAATGATTTGGCTACCTTTTGATATTGGAACATACAGTCGTGGTCAACTAATTAGGGACAGAAAGAATACTAAGCAATACTAAGTGTTTATATCCTATTATTGTGAGCTTCATTCAATATTACTGGCTGTTACTTTGTAAACATATTGACTATCAAGTACTCTATTTAGGGCTGATTTTTCAATCGTCGGATAACTTTTAACTGAAGAATAAGTTTGGCACATTGACAGTTTTAGTATGGGAAATATGTCAAAATGACAAGTTTATTCTTCAGATAAAAGTTATCTGACGATTGAAAAATCAGCCCTTAACAGAATACAATAACAACAAAAAAACTTACTAACTTAATAAAAAATCTTAATCAAATCACATGAATCGGTAATTATGGTACGGACGGTCTGGCCACCTAATTAGGGACGCTTAAGTTTTTCCTTCTACCTTAATTAAAAAAAATAAAAAGTAATAACTTTTATTCTGTTCATTTGTAATTTCGGCGTCAATTTGAAAAGCGATATTCTTTTCTTGCGAGTTAAACACTCATCAAATTATTAAAGGTAATGGGCTGAAAGAAAAGCAACAATGCGCTAAGTTATAATCAATCTTTATCAGTGTGGATGGCCATACCGGTAAATTGCAGATCATCTGAAATGTTCCAAAAACATAAATCTACGATGCAGTGGCTTATTTCAAAATCATAAAACCACAGAAAGTATGCCTAGAAGGAAGAGACCAATAAAAACAACCCCACAAGATGATCGCAGAATAGTCACTCTCGCAAAGAGAGACCCCTTTAAGGGTTTCGTTCTGATCAAGAGCGAGATTTTTGGACCAGAACCGACTGCTGGAGTATCTGCGAGGACCGTCGGAAGGCGACTGGTGGAGGCAAAGCTTGTAGGAAGAGTTCCTCGAAAAGTTCCACTACTGAAGATGGAACACAAAGAAGCAAGATTGGCGTTTGCAAGAAAGTATGGACATTAGGCTTTTGCTCAATGGATAAATGTGCTGTTTTCTGATGAGATTAAGATAAATCGTATTTCATCCGATGACAGACAATACGTGCGACGACATGTAAAGTCCGAAATGATACCAAAGTAAACGAAGAAGCAGGTGAAACATACAGGCGGCAATATAAAAATCTGGGGCTGTTTTTCTGGACATAGAGTGTAACCTATAAAAAGAACTGAAGTTAAACTTGAGCAATTCCAATACAAATAAATATTGGAGAAAACGATGCTATCGTATGCTGAAGAAGTCTTACCAGTCTCATGAACATTTCAACACGATAACGACCCAAAACATACCGCGTACACTGTTTAATCGTTCCTAGCGCAACAGTCAGTGACGGTACTAGATTGGCCCGAAAACAACTCAGACTTAAGCCCTATAGAGCTTATGGTATGAAACGAAGGAAAAAGTTGCAGCTCAACGTACTGGCACTAAAAATCAGCTTTTCGTGGCATTTAATGGTGTTTGGAATAATATTTCTTTAGAAACCTGTAATGATTTGATTGCATCCATGCCGCGCCGATGTCAAATGGTTATAACGCTCGAGCTCCTTTGAGAGTGGACGTGTTGTTGGTTAAATCCTCTTATAATTACTTAAAAATAGACCTTAGTGTAATAAAAATTAGCTCCAAATTTGACCAGTATCCCAAGTTGACTGTAATATTGAAGAATAAGTTAGTGTAGAAGTGCCACTTCAAAATGTACCGTTCGCCAAAGACAACCAACCCAGACAATAAAGCAGGCGAATCAAGCACTGTTACTACTCGAAGACGTAAGAATGATGACGACTTCTCGAAAATTTTCACTACTTTTACTACAGAGATACGTAGTACTTTGGATGACTGGAAGAGGGAAATTCAAGACGAAATATCCGGAATTAAAAGCAATCTGGATGATGTATTGAGAACTGATCTTGAGAAACTGCATGCATCGTTCGCTGAATTCAAATCTGAAATCAGTAGCATCCGTCAAGAATATAAAGAAATAAAGAAATCAGTACAATCCCTTGACCGCAAACATAGTGACACTCTGAAACAAATTAAGGTATTGGAAAATTCTGTACAGTTCAATAGCGACCAAAACGATATGGTCCAGAAAAAAATGGAGTCACTGACAATTAATAAAAAAGCAATCGAATCACTTGAATCTAAAGTAGACTTATTGTCTAATGAAAATAAACTATTGCAATTAGAAATTAATACAAATAATCAAAGGGAACGCTTACTGAACTTGGAAATCGTTGGAGTCCCGGAAGATAAGGGTGAGGACCTGAGCAGTATTATTTTATCCATATCTAAACATGCTGGTGTGTCGATTTCCTCTGACGATGTATTAGAGGTCAACCGTGTAACGCCAAAGCAAAAACAACCGGGTCGCTCGAGAAACATAATTGCTAAGCTGAAATCCCGTCTTTTGAAGGACAACATAATCTCAGGCATTAGAAAGAACCGAGTGACCACCAAAGACCTTGGAATGCGTGGCAGTGCGCGACCCGTCTATGTTAATGAGCATTTGACGTATTACAACAAAATCTTACTGAAGAAGTGCAAGGAAACGGCCAAACTTAAGCAGCTTCAATATGTATGGACAAAAAACGGAAGGATATATGTCAGGAGGAACGATACTGCACCGGCTCTTCAGATATCGCAGGAAAAAGACATTCTAAAATTAAGTTAAGGTTAAGGTTTGCTGTGTGCGTTATTGTTGTTTTTTTAAGTTATCTCTTACATATTCACTCAAACATTGTAAAAGCAATTCATTGGTTCCTTACTCGGTTTGTCGATTCTATATTTTATTATTCTTTGCCTACACATGAGCAATGCTCGTTAGTTCGAATGACTTGCAGTTTGAATGTACAAGAGACTCGCGCGATGAGTGTGCGACGAAGTGCTCATAGTATCTGTAGATGTAATGCATCGTGTGGTATTTTGATTTACTTTTTCTTTATCTATTATTTTGATCTAATTAAAATTCAATTAAATAATTTAGAAGATCTCGTATCTTATGTATTGGGCTGTGTCTTACTGAGTACCTATACGAATATCTATGAATTCATAATGGGATTAATTAATTATACCTCGAACATTATAATACTTAACTTTAAAACAAAACTTATGACGTCACGTCCGCGATATTATTTACATATTCGTATATTTTTGGTGTTATATTTCACAGCACAACAGTTAACAAAGCTCGCACCCTTTTTCGTTATATTGATTGTATTAGTTGAGTTTAGAAACGATCCACTGTGTTACCTCGGACTCGTAAAAAATATTTTCTACCCTTTATTACAAGAAAAAACCATAATATTTTTTATTAACAGCGGCCGAGTTGAGATATCGTCACATATTTTTTTACATAGGTCTAAATGCGTTTGCGTCTTAGTAATCAAACACAAATATTATTTATCTCTAAATATGAAGTGTAGGTGCGTATGTTTTTGTAATATTGTATTGCGGAGGAAGGTATGTTTGGAGACTGGTACAAATAAAACCGTTTATAGTATAATTTTGTCACTACGTTATGGAGCTTTAATGTTCTTTCAATTTAATACTTTTGGAGTCGTCTACGATAATGGCTAATAATAATAATTTGAATTTTTACTATCAGAATGTTCGTGGTCTCAGGACAAAATGTCTTGAGCTACGTTTAAGCATTCTGGGGAACGATTTTGATGTAATTATTTTGACAGAGTCGTGGCTACACAGTGGCATTTTTGATGGCGAGCTTTGTGATGATAGGTATGACGTGTTTAGGGCTGACCGAAACCTGCTTAGTAGGGGTAAAAGTACGGGCGGCGGGGTGGTAATATTAACACGACGTACACTTGGTGCTACGCGTCGTGACCTCGGTGAATGCGGTCCAACTGAAATGGGTACTTCTCATTTACACTCAAATTTGATGGTCACACAATAATAGTTCATAAACGGTATANCCTCGGATATTGACTTAATCAGACAAAAAATTTGCAGTGTTATTGAAATTTGTCACAGCGATAACTTTGTGTTACTGGGAGATTTTAATTTGCCGTTTCTTTCCTGGAATCCTGACGGATACCTAACTATGAGTGGGGGGTCTACTGATGTACAAGAAGCGAGTACCCTATTATTAGAATCACTCACATTTCACGGATTGAGACAGTATAACACTTTGAAAAACTACGCTGGTAATACGTTGGACCTTGCTTTTTCGAATCTACCTTTAAATATCTACCCCGCGTGTGTACCGCTGCTTAAAGAGGATCGTGCGCATCCATCATTCTGCCTTGAAGTTTTAGATTTATTAATTATTCCTTTGCGTGAAACGCTCGCTCCGCGGCGGAATTTCGGAAAGGCTGATTATGATAGTATTAATTCATATATTTTAGAGCAGGACTGGCAATCACTTTTGTGTATGGGCACTGTGGACGAGGCTGTTGACGCCATGTATAACATACTCAACTTTTGTGTACGTTCTCATGTGCCCTTTAGTTATAATACAGGGAGGCGAACATATCCTCAATGGTACACGCCGGCCTTAATAAAAATCATAAAAGAGAAGACTAAAGCTCATAGCCGTTGGAAAACATTTGGAAATATGTTGGATTACGATGAGTTCAAATTGCTTCGAAAAAGAGAACACCGTGTTCAAAAGAAATGTTTTGACAGATTTAAATTAAGCTGTGAAAATAGTATCAAAACACACCCTAAATTGTTCTGGACTTTTGTAAAAGCCACTCGAGGCGGGTCGGGCTACCCCAAAAAAATGTGTTTAGAGGGCGTAGAGTATACTGAAGGTGAGGGAATATGTAATGCGTTTAATTCTTTTTTCCATAGTGTATTTGGTGTACCTAGCAATAATTTAATACCTCCACTATCGGAGCCGTTGTGCATAGATACAGTTTCCAACGTGCAGATAAGCAGTTCAGCAGTTGAAAACATGTTGAAAACCTTGGACACGAAAAAGGGTGCTGGTAGTGATGGATTGCCTTCTCTGTTTTGGTCTCGGTGCGCTAAGTCACTTGCTCTTCCCTTGACACTCATATTTAACCGTTCCCTGCGTGAGGGAGTCTTTCCACACAAATGGAAATCGGCACTTATAGTCCCTATACACAAGAAGGGATCACGCACTGATATAAAAAATTATAGAGGCATTTCCATTTTAAACACTGCAGCAAAAATCCTTGAACGTGTGGTATATAACGTGATTTATTCTACGCTCTCACGTTCCATCCCGGAGCATCAACATGGTTTCATGCAAAGGCGGTCCACTACTACTAATTTGGCATGTTTTTCTACTTTCATCCTTGAGAATATGGATCGCGGTGGGCAGGTTGACGTGATCTACACTGATTTTGAAAAAGCGTTTGATCGTGTGGATCACGTGATCCTGCTCAGCAAGTTACAAACACTCGGAATCCATGGTGATTTGCTCCGGTGGACTAAATCTTATCTCTCCAATCGTTCACAGGCAGTTGTAATAGGCGGATATCGTTCGAATTTTGTAAACATACCTACCGGAGTCCCCCAGGGCTCTCATTTGGGACCACTTTTCTACAGCGCTTACCTGTATGACATAGGATCATGCATGCAACACACTAGCTATCTGATGTACGCTGACGACAAAAAGATTTTTCGTAAAGTTAACACAACACAAGACTGTATATTAATACAAAAGGACTTGGATCGTTTGCTTCAGTACTATAGGCAAAATAATATAACTGTCAATGCAGGTAAGTGTGAGTGTATAACATTTACGCGGAAACCAAAGCCGGTCACACACAGTTATCACTTCGATGGAGTAGAAATCAGTCGAAAACTAAATGTAAGGGATCTAGGCGTGTATTTCGATCATAAAATGATACTATCCGACCATATTGAATATGTTATCGGCAAAGCTTACAAAAATCTGGGTTTTGTTCTTCGCATCTGTAAGCCATTCTCAGATATCGATGCAATCAAAATGGTGTATTTTGCATACGTTAGAAGTGTCTTGGAATATGCTGGTTCCGTATGGTCTCCGCAGTACAAAGTTTACAAAAACCGTCTTGAAAGAATTCAAAAAATATTTATAAATCACCTCAACTTTCGCTGTCGTAATAGCATTAGTAGTTACACAGAAAGCTGTATTGAGCATAACCTCTTATCTCTGGAGCACAGGCGTGTTGTCCTGGACATGGCTTTGTTGTCCGATGTAGTGAATAGCAGGATTGACTGCCCGGACTTGGTCTCGATGATCACGTTTCGTACTCCGAAGTATCGCACCCGCAACGTATCTTTGTTGGATACTCCCCAGCACTATACAAATTACAATCGAAACTCAGTCTTGTCGCGACTTGTTAGTGCATTCAATAAACAATTTGCACACATCGACCTTTTTGCAAGTACTAAATTTACAGTTAAAAGGGACGTCATTAAGGCACTCAGAAACCATTGACTATTATTGACGCAATGAATTGCTTCTTTGTGAGTTTTTGTTATTTTTAATTATTATCATTTTTTTAACATCTTTTATTCATATTTTTTCCCAACAACAATGTACTTTTATAAAAAGGGAAACCTTTCATTGGCTATACTATCAGTCTAAATCTTATAACTAATATTTTCAATGTATCGCTGTTGGTTTCTATAAAATAAATAAATAAATAAATAAATAAATAAACAACAACACCAACCATATTGGTTAAAAAAATACGTTTGATGATTTTATTTTGTATTCTATATTTATTAATGAAAACTTTTTATGTAATAAACACTTAAATAATTTCCAATTTATTTACATTTACAGTGAAAGTGTTACGTGTCCCTAATTAGTTGTCCATCCCTAGGTCAATAAATGTGTAGGTGGCAATGATTTATTTATTTTAAAAATATTGATCGCAACTAGCTAGTTTCTTTTCTGGCCTTTAAATATTTAGAATACTAGCCAAATTACTTGTTATTAATAGGCACAAGCTACAAAGCCTCGTGAAGATTTTTTTTTCGGACTGAAGAGACGGTCTTGTGTTTTAGTCATATAACGTCCCTAATTAGTTGACCACGACTGTATATTTTGTTCTATTTCGTCAATATTTTTGTTAGTGACTAATTGATGTCTCTAACTACTAATGTAACTACTACATACTTATTTTACATTAGGAAAGAAAAGTTAACTTTGTCTCCAAATGTAAGCATAGGCCAAATCCCCCATTTATTTCTAGTAAATTATTTACCCGTGAAATTTCGCGTGAATGTCTTAAGAACCGACTAAAGGACAAAATAAGCCTCCCCAACCCGTCTGGCCAGGGGAATCTAAGATATCTATTTGCCTCTGGAGAGGATCGTGCTCCTGTTAATGATGATGATGATGATACTAACGGAGAAGCCTCCGTGCGCCTTGGCCACGTTGTTGATCAGCTCCATGATGAGCACCGTCTTGCCGACGCCGGCTCCGCCGAAGAGGCCGATCTTACCGCCTGTGGGGTTCAATTGGGAATTTAGGAACCTTAAAAATAAGGAAAGCTGGCCTCAATCTGATATTGGCTTAACAATAATTCTACTAGCTCCATACATTTATAGTTCCCGTTTTTTAACTACAACGGGAAAGCTGTTGTCCTGAATCTCATCTGATGGAAAGATATGATAGGCCGAAGCTTTTGCTTATGGTCTCTCATTGTGACAGTGAATCCAAACCAATACGCAAACGTCCTGTGGTCGAAGGACCTTTAAGATTATGGTTATTTACACATTTCGTCAATACGCTCAGCTTCAGTTTAGAAATCTGATTAGTTATCAAAACATCTCTTATCCGCTTTGGTGGAGGAAAAGGTCTTAATCCGGCTTTCTTATTTTTAGAGATGGCAACGTTGCTATGTAAGCGATATTGTCATTAAATGTTTCTTACTTTGTCTATTGAACCAGCAGCTAATCATTTTACCTACTGACACTCACCCAGGGTACGGAAACTTCCATACTACGATCAAACTTGCTTCCAAACAGCGACTTCAGTCGATAAATTCCAATACTTTTTTTTTTTATGGCTCTCGCGGATTGCGTTTAGCCACGACAGGGTTCTTGATTTTTGCGTTCAGTTTTGCCATAAGTTTTGCGGACATTGCGTTTAGACAGGGTGGGATTGGGTTAAAGTTAATTCTCTTTCTTTCTTTGCGTAGGCTATATCTCCTTAATTATTAACGTAATTAATTTAAACTACATACTACTACCGCACATCACATGTACATACAATTGTATGATTAGCGTGTACCAAATTGGAATATCCTATAAAGGCGGGCGCAAGCGCAGATGCGTGTGGCGGACGACTGGACGGGGCTTTGTGTACTATCTACGCACACAACGACAATGCGTACCCAACCGGTCTGCGATCGCGATCGAACGTCGAGTCTTTCGTCATCGTAGTGCGCACTCGCTAAAATAATATTTTGTATATCTGAAAGTGTTGTGAATGCTTAGGTATACTAAAACGTTTGTTTTTATTTGTATAGAGAACAATAGTGTCTAGACAAACCTAAAAAGGATTTAGGACGCTATTTGGATCAAATATGTAATTGCTCAATAATGAATAATAAATAAAGAAATAAATAAAATAAAATTAAAAGGTAGGGAAACGAATCAANCACCTCAACTTTCGCTGTCGTAATAGCATTAGTAGTTACACAGAAAGCTGTATTGAGCATAACCTCTTATCTCTGGAGCACAGGCGTGTTGTCCTGGACATGGCTTTGTTGTCCGATGTAGTGAATAGCAGGATTGACTGCCCGGACTTGGTCTCGATGATCACGTTTCGTACTCCGAAATATCGCACCCGCAACGTATCTTTGTTGGNAATATACATTACTATTTACAATTTTATATTATTATGGGTAATAAATTCGGATAGGATATTATAAACATCAATATTATTGGTATATAATAGGCAAGTGATGGATGTAGGAAAAGGAATTTTAATGGCTAAAAGAGAACTAATAAAAGAGGAACGATCATATAGGCAACAGTAAAAAAATATGTGATTTAAGTCTCCGACGCCAGAACCACAAATGCACGAATCATTATCAAGTATATGAATTTTAGCCAAGTGTGCTGGAGTGCACACGTGACCAAGTCGCATTCTAGTTAAAATGGTAGTAACTGTTTTGGAAAGATTCATTTTAACAAACCATGGTTTACAAAGGATGGATGGTTGAATGAGCTTGTAATGTTTCCCCTTAGATTGACTAGTGAACTCCCAATTCTCATCCCAGGCAGATTTGAGATAAGCTTTGGGAAGGGCTGCCGTTAAGTCATGGCAATAATTTGTGTACGGATGTATATCTCCACACTCAACCGCTTCATTGGCCAGCTTATCAGCTTTATCATTTCCTGGAATATTGGTATGACTAGGAATCCACGCAAAATTAATTAAATGACTGTTAAGACTACATTTGTGAAGTAATTTCCTGCATTCTGTAATAATAGGATAATTAGTATTGTTCTTAAATGGAAATTTATGTAATGCCTGCAAAGCACTTTTAGAGTCACAAAATATTACAGTTGTGTTTAATTTCATAAGGAGAGCATACTCTAAAGCCTTAAACAGTCCAAAACATTCTCCTGTAAAGACTGATGATTCTGGACGGAGTTTTATTTTCTGGACAATATGATATTGTTTATGCAACATGACCCGTTGGAGAGTGCTTAGATGCATCGCAATAGATATGATGCCAATCGCCCCAGTGTTCGTCTACGATCTGATTGAACTTAATGTTAGCATTGTAGTCATCCTTATGTATGTCTAGGTTGAAATGAATTGTCGGAGTAAGAATAAGGGATTCAAAATTTACAGAAAATATCGGAAGAAAGGAGGTTCTGTGGACTGGGGCTTGNAATGAGCTTGTAATGTTTCCCCTTAGATTGGCTAGTGAACTCCCAATTCTCATCCCAGGCAGATTTGAGATAAGCTTTGGGAAGGGCTGCCGTTAAGTCATGGCAATAATTTGTGTACGGATGTATATCTCCACACTCAACCGCTTCATTGGCCAGCTTATCAGCTTTATCATTTCCTGGAATATTGGTATGACTAGGAATCCACGCAAAATTAATTAAATGACTGTTAAGACTACATTAAATGTCAAAACAACAAATTTTGTGAAGTAATTTCCTGCATTCTGTAATAATAGGATAATTAGTATTGTTCTTAAATGGAAATTTATGTAATGCCTGCAAAGCACTTTTAGAGTCACAAAATTTACAGTTTTGTTTAATTTCATAAGGAGAGCATACTCTAAAGCCTTAAACAGCCCAAAACATTATCCTGTAAAGANAGTCACAAAATTTACAGTTTTGTTTAATTTCATAAGGAGAGCATACTCTAAAGCCTTAAACAGTCCAAAACATTCTCCTGTAAAGACTGATGATTCTGGAGGGAGTTTTATTTTCTGGACAATATGATATTGTTTATGGTATGCGCCAACGCCAACATGACCCGTTGGAGAGTGCTTAGATGCATCGCAATAGATATGATGCCAATCGCCCCAGTGTTCGTCTACGATCTGATTGAACTTAATGTTAGCATTGTAGTCATCCTTATGTATGTCTAGGTTGAAATGAATTGTCGGAGTAAGAATAAGGGATTCAACAGAAAATATCGGAAGAATCGCCGTGTGGTGACGGCAGAGTATACCTTGATTTTTTAGAATCCAGCAGAGATGTAAACAAACACTTTCATACACAATTACACTATAATCACTTACGTGTTCATAATATCATACACATTATTTAACAAGCCCATGAAACCAACTTTATTTTCACGTTTATACAAGTTTGAAATCAATCTTTGAAACAAATTATTTTAGCAAAATACGTGGATGATGAAAATTTGTGAGACTTGTCAAATTGACTTGACGTTTAAAATCATGTGTTATCTCCATATTGTCTATGACTTGTCTCTGACACATCAGTGCCGTAACCTGTGAGTCATAGACAATAATCTGTAAATATAATCGATATTATTTTAAGTATTCACTGATTCCGATTACTGATTAATTTTAAATAAAAAATATACGATACTTTGTTTAGTTTTCCAGCGATAACTTCGACAATATTGGAGATAACGTAAATTTATTTTTCTACTTTTAGTGTTTACTTTTTC